CACGCGCTTCGCCGCTCGAATAATAGGCAGCTGGGGTGGAATGCGAAACTAGAAGAAGGGGGTTAGTACAACCCCATGCTTCGGCGGCAGGTAGAGGTGCAATGTACCTATACTCGTCGCTGACACCGTAGGCGAGACAGAGATCGGGAAGCTCCTTCATGACCTCCACGGCGGCGGCATTCATCAGATCTAGAGCCCGACGGTCGTTGGGCTTGACGAAGCCGTAGCGATCGGAGAGTCTGGAATGGGGTCAGAGACTGGATCGGGGGTGGTCGTTGCACATTACCACGAAGGTAATGAGCTTAGAGATAGGTAAACAAGTAAACGGACTTATGGAATCCTCGACCGTCAATTCGAACGACAATCCATGTGTTGGGGAGCAACACATCGGGTTGTTCGAATAACTTGACATACTCGTATCTGTGAAAGGCTTTAGCGCGGAAGAGATGTCAGGGTGAGATTTTGGGGGGGGTGGTACTTGGAATTTGCCATATTGACGCTATGTGAGAGTATGTTAGGGCTACGGAAGCAGGTATAAGATATTCATAGGGAAAGGCTATGTATGATGAGGATGCAGCCGCCGAGGGTGGAATTGAAGGTGGGATGAAGATTTGAGTGGTGGGGGAGGCTTGCGGTTCCTCTTTTTTTATCCGCGCAACGGCAACCCTGAATACAACAGCACATTACACATATCGAATGCCACTTTGGAAAAAGCGTTGAAGTGGCTTGACACATACTGAGCTCATTTATCTATCGCTACCTTTGTATCAGGAATAGTGTCTTAATATAATCAATGAATGAATGCCTTTAGGTAAATTATTATGTGCAATCCAAATATGCCTAGGAAAGACTGAAAAGACTGAAAAGTGATGACCACCAACCCTGAAGCTTACAGCGCTAGGAAAGGTCGAAAGAAGTAAATGACAAGTGACTGACTGACTCTTGATCTATGGATAGAAAAAGTGAGAGAATGAATGCTGCACGACGCAGTATGGGGTTGCAGTATGATCAAGAATGATGATGATCCTCCTCCTCGGAATCTTCGTCTGCCTCGCTAGCCTGTTCGCTAGGACGCTCGCTCGTCTCGCTAGCAGCCGACTTCCTCGACATCCGACTGAAGAAACCCAAGCTGCTGCGCGTTGATCTATCCGCAGAGGGTGCGCTCGAGACAGTGCTGTCAATGCTCTTGGCAAGTAGCCCTTCACCGTGGGCATCCTCATCAATATCTCCCTGCGCGGTGTCACCCCGCTTGGAAAAAAGACCAGACCGATCCTTCCATGAACTGAATTTACTCGAGCTCCCTTTACGGGTGATCTTGCGGATAAATGACTCCTTCGAGCTGGCATTGTCCAGCGAACCCCCGGAAAGCATTCGCTCCAGTGATTCATACGAATCGCCGGTGAGGGCAGACAGAGAACGTGAATCCCGGGAAGCCCGCGACTCCGAGGGAGAGCCCTCGTCCATAGGAAAATCAAACGGTGCCTCTAACTCCCGGTCCTTGCCCTTGTCTTTCTCCTTACTCCTATCGGATTTCTTCCCGGAAGAAAAGATGGCCTTGAACGAAGGCGCTGCAGGATTCAGCTTTGGAGTAACCGGTCGATGTGAAGACGATGGTCGGGTGCCAATAGGAGCCTGCAAGGGGCGTCCTTGTCGCTCGAAAGCCGAGTCCTGGAGAAAATCGGGCTCACCGGTTAGACTTAGAGGCAGGTGACCAGAAGATCCGTACTGAATCGATGGCCGGCGGGATTGAACCCTTGACCAGGTTGAGGGGGATGCCCAATCAAATCCCAAGGGGCTACGGTGGCCAGGCTTCTCAGCTGACGGCCAGCCAAAGTGCCTATTATCTGTCGAAGGATGGGGAAGGTGATTGTCAAACGAGAAGGTCGAAGACGGCCTCGGAGACAATGATTCTCGTCGCACTTTCCCGAGAATTGTAGCGGGATCGATGGGATCATGCCGGGGGCTGAATTGGTTGTATCCCGTGCTGAGATCTGCATTCTCGCCGGACTTGAGCAAGCTGCTACCACTGCCAAAGCCAAATCTACTGGGAGAGAAGATGCTCGAGAACGCAGTGCGACGAGATGGATGGTGATCCGACGAGCTGTCAGTTGTGGCACCGGCTGTATTGCTTCGAGGGAACAATGACATTGGATTGGCCCAATTGCCTGTATAGCTCAGCCGACGACGTCTAGCACCAATGGGATCCATTTCATCCACATTACGGGGGAATGACTGACTCTGCCCTGGTTTCAGACTGCCCAGCAAAGGCGGTTCATCGGCAAGAGTTTTACCGCGAGGACGATGGAAGCCAAAGAGGCCAGACAGTCGCCGCGAGGCACTCTTTGGCGCTTCGCCTGCTTCCCCTAGATTCGTGGGTTGAGGCTCGACGTCGATAGAATGAGGTTGGCTCTCATGAGGGCTGGCGAAGAGGCTTCCTGGACGACTGTTGTTGGGTGAATCTGGCGACGGCGGGCCGTGGGGAAATTCGAGCTGGGTGCCCGGTTGCTCAAGGTTGGGAAAACGAGATCGAATAACCGGACGAGGAAGCTCAGGCGACTCCTCGTCGCCAAGAAGATCCGAAGGTAGTAAGGCGTCTGCGCGAGGGCTCATTTGAGGGGCACCGAGAGATATCTGATCTGCTGGATAGCCATGCAGGGAGTCAGATTGACTAGTCAAGCTCGGTAGAGTCATTCCGTTCGTGATGTTGAAAAAAGCGGAGGTTGGTCCAAAAGTAGGTGAGCTGGTAACGGGAGGATTGTAGCCAAGGCTGCTGGAGAATGTTGGCTCTAGGGACGTATAGTTCATGGGCGAAGAGACATTGCTGGTAAGCGAACTGCGATGCCGACGGGGACGGATGGTTGCGGTATTCGAGAGGTCCAAATCGAGAGCTGGAAGAGTAAAGGGTCCTGTGCTGCCGCTTCGCTGGGTTGTGAGCCATTTCAAGCGTTCCTGGGCCTCTTGATACTGTTGCTGCGCCTTGAGAGACGGTCAGTGTGCGTGGTAGGAGAATGGTGGCTTCGAGCAAACTAACCTGTGCATGAAGGCTGACTAGAGTGGCATAGCGAGCATGAAGGTTGCTCAGTTTGACATCCCATTGCCGTGCTCGTTCATTATCAATTCTGTCCAACTCCTTTCCGTCCTCACTGTCGGCCTCCTGGAGAGTCTTCCTTTCATCCTCAAGTTTCTTGACACGGCCGCCCTTGTCCTGGATCTCATCATCGATGACCTTCATCTCCGACTGCTCCTTACCGATCTTCTCTCGAATCTCATCTGCACGCTGTTTTGCTTCCTCTTCAACTCGAGCCTTCTCCTCTCTTGACTCAGCAGCTTCACGGGCCATGCTTTCAACCTGTTCCTGCCACCGAATGATGTCGGCCTTTCGTTTCTTTCGCTCGGACTCTTTCTGCTGCAGGAGTCTTTCACGCTTAGCCTTTTCACTTTGCACAGTGCGGTTGACGCTTTCCAACTTGTAGACATGTTTCTTCAAGTCGCCGCTGGCTTCATCCTTCTCCTTCACTCGCTTCTTCAGCTCATCACGCTGCTTTTCCAGTTCTTTCATTAAAGCGATGTGCTCCTCTTCTTCGTCAGCGGTCTGCTTTTCCACGGTTTCATTTTCCTGCTGCAGGGATTTCAATCGATCGGCAAGCTGCTCCAGTGTTTCATCATGATCGTCATTGGCGGTACTTTTGTGCAAATCTTCGGCACTGGAGTGAGCGATGTCGGTTGTGCTAGCTGCAGGGGATGGTTTCCGCCCAGCCGTGGATCGCTTCGCCTGAAGTTGTCCTCCGCTATGCTCACGCGCCATCACAGGCGCCGCGGGAGCGGCCAGGCCTGCAGTCGATCGGGGAATCGAGGCCCGGATGGTAGGGTTTCCGACCGGCGCATTCTGCTGCGACTGGGAGAGAGGTAGAGATTTCGTGCGCACATGAATGATTGCGCTGGGTGTCTGAAAATTGGCGGCGCTGACTGAGAGCACACAAATATGGTAAATACTTCCAGGGACTAAGTTTAGAATTTCGACAGCAGTCTCCGCTCGTTTCGATTCGCCCACTGACAGAATGTTAGCCGCACCAGAGAAAGAAGGGACGATGATCTCTAGACGAGAGCTACCTTTGACACCATTTAGCTGAATGATGTGCTTGTGGATCGAGTTGTGGAACTCCGGTTGTTTCCAGGCTATCCGGATCTCACGCGCTGTAATCTCCTCTAGAGTAACTTCCGGGGGTGGCGGAATGTCGAGTCCCAGCTTCTCCACAAGAACTTCGTTGGGCGTCTGACAGACCTGCCACGCACGGTAGAGCAGCCTTGAGACAAGATTAGTCCAACCGAGACATCATCTGCAAAACTCTCTGACGGGCTACTCACCAGATCAGGGCCCAGAGAATTGTGACAGCCAGGAAGAGAGCCATAACGCCTCGAACCCTGACTCGGGGAACCACGCTGGGATAGGCGTCGAAAGAGAGATGCAATGGCTCATACATCCCAGCGTCCACGACCCATGGAGGAAGAGACAGGAAGTGAGGGGTGGCAGCGACCTCGTGCACGTTTGGGAGTGCGAGGGGGCCGTGGAGGATGGAAGGTCGAATAGAGGTCCTGCGATGACGGACAGGATTGAAGCAAAGATAGCGAGAGAGAGAGAGAGAGAGAGAGACTTTGGGGAATTAATCCGATGCTCCGCGGAGGCTGCCGACCCAGTGGGGAGCTTCAGTCACATGACTGTACCCTCTGTACCCTTAAGGCTGCCGCTGGCGGCTTCAGATCCAGCTGAGTCAGCGTGCAGATCCTGTGCGACTGGTCTAGGCGTCCAAAGCGGGACTAGCGCCCGTTTCAAGCCGAGGAATGTTGGATGGATGGATCTTGAGTCTGCTGGCTGCTGGCAAGGAAAGGGCTGAAAAGCACATGACGCCGACCGGTTGGGCGGTTGAGCCTCTCCCAACAATTGCCTGCGCGGAACTGACGGACGGTTCTTCTACTTCTTTTCCCTTTACTCTCCATTCTAACTTTTCTAAAAAAAACCTCATACGTTCTTTGCTTGTCTACCTGGTTATACAGGTATCACTCGCTTGGTTATTCTTGTTCTCATTGTTTTAGTCGAGTGTTGCGCGAGTGACTATCGTCTCTCGTTATCATTACTTCTTTACTACGTATTGTCTCCCCGCCTCGGGGCATGTCTATCGGGCATTGTCACATGGGACGTACGTATGTACGAGTAGGCGGCAATTCCTGCACCCCCGGCCTCTGACCACCTCCTCATCCTCCTCCAACCCCTCTCCTACTCCCACCTGCGTGGTGAGATTTTGAAAAAGATCTCTCTTCTCAATCGCTTTCTCTCGGATATACTCAACCTTCTCCAGGGACACCCCCCCCTGTTGAGCCTGCAGGATGCAATACGTCCGCAGCATCAGCGGTTCCGTCTCGAAGACCTGGAACTCCATCAACCCAGCCACCCTCAGCGGGGCAATTGATGTCATTGTGATCGAGCAAGAGGATGGTTTGTTCGTCCTGCTCTTCGGTGCATCGCATAAATTATTAATCGCAAATTGCCGCAGGAACGTTGGCTTGTTCTCCATTCCATGTTCGATTCGGCAAGTTCTCACTCCTCCGCCCGTACGAGAAAAAGGTACCGCCAGCCCGCATCCACTGTCCAACTATCATGGCTAAGATGTTATTAGGTGGAATTCTCCGTGAATGGCGTCAAACAGGACTATGCGATGAAGCTGGGTGAGGGCGGGGAGGCTTTTTTCGTGTTCGAAACGACTGCCGAGATTCCCGCCTCGCTGCAGACGTCACCCTTAGTTTCGCCTACCAGCAGTCCTAAGATGCGCAGCGAAGAGAACATTTCCTCTTCCTTGTCAGAGCCGGAGTATTTAGACCTCGATCGATCTCCGTCGCCTACTGAAAACCGAGCCGATGGGAAGTCATCGGCTGAACTCCCCATATTGTCCAGGGGGATGCGGGCATCCAGCGACCTGGGTACGTTGAGGAAGGGACTTGGACTTGAACAACGACTGATGGCCTCACAGGTACCATTACACCTCTTTCGCGATCACCGGATAACGATTCAACTTTGGGCCGGTCCCGCCACGGCTCCTTCAGCGAGGGGCCTGCCAAGATCGACCGGATGGCCACCGATAGCGTGCTTTTGACGAAGAATCGATCCAACAGTATTGGGGTGACGAACCAGCCGTATGCTGTGAATGTCTTAGGCGATGAAACCACTCCGGATGGACGATCCCGCAGCCCTCCGCCGTTGTCGCTCGAGGAAGTGATGTCTCGAGCCGAATCGCTGTCGAAGAAGCTGTCCGGGTCGAACATCCCATCTCGCGTAACGGAGACTGGAGACTTGATGCTAGATATGACGGGCTACAAAAGCAGCGAGGAAGATGCGCTGCGGGCGGAGGTCATTGCCCGGAAGATTCTCGCCGAAGAATTGGAGGGCAATTACGACATCGGAGCCCTTATCGGGGCAGATGAGCACGGTAACCTATGGATCTACAGCAGCGAGGAGGCCAAAGAGGCTGCCGATCGCCGGGCTACGTTCAACACAATGCGACCGGGGTCGGCAATGAGTGAAAATGCCATCTCTGACCCGGGGTACCATAGCGATAGCGATCCGTCCATCCATGACAAGGCAGTGACGGCCCGTCACTACCGGACGCAATCAGACGTGCAACCTGGCTTTCCTACGCCGCCACAGTCGCCTAGTCAAGATTCCCTTGCCTTGGAACCCACACGTAACTACGCAAAGACTTTACGTTTGACCAGCGACCAGCTCAAGGCTTTGAAACTGAAACCTGGACCCAACAACATGTCGTTCAGTGTGAATCGAGCAACCTGCACCGCAAACATGTATCTGTGGAATGGCAACACGCCGATTGTGATCTCGGACATTGACGGGACTATTACTAAGTGAGTATAAAACCTCGTGCCATCGGTTTTATTCCCACTAAACGTCATAGGTCTGATGCTTTGGGTCATGTGCTGAACATGATCGGACGAGACTGGACACATGCTGGAGTCGCCAAGTTGTACACAGACATCGTGAATAACGGCTACAACATCATGTACCTTACTAGTCGATCCGTCGGCCAGGCCGACACTACGCGAGCCTATTTATATGGAGTGTGCCAGGATGGCTACCGACTCCCAAAGGGTCCAGTTATCATGAGTCCGGACCGGACCATGGCAGCACTTCGACGGGAGATCTACCTTCGGAAGCCCGAAGTCTTCAAGATGGCGTGCTTGCGAGACATCCTGAACTTGTTCAATGGCAAGGAGAACCCATTCTACGCCGGGTTTGGCAATCGCCTGACGGACGCGCTAAGCTACCGCTCGGTGAATATCCCTTCTACACGGATTTTCACAATCAACTCGAATACGGAGGTATCGTTGGACCTTCTCAGTTTAAACAAATACAAGAGCAGTTACGTTTCAATGGGAGAGCTGCTTGACCACTTCTTCCCGCCTGTCAGTTTGCTGGTTCAGGCTGGTGGCGAGGAGTACACCGATTTCACGTATTGGCGTGAACCCCCGCCAGACCTCGAGGCGTTCTCATGTACAGATAGTGAAGCCGAAGACGAGGAACCGGAGGAAGACGAAGAGGAGGACGAAGAGGAGGACGAAGAGGAAGAGGATGAGGAAGAAGAGGAGCTGGACGAGGAAGACGAACTTGAGGAAGATGAGGAGTACGACGGCGAGATCAGCGACGATGGCAGCGAGGCTCTGGATGAGGAGGAGATTGAAGAGGAGGACCTCGGCGCCAGTTATATATCGCAAGACTCTGTGGACGGATCTGAAATGGCGGATGACCACCACATTGTCCCCAAAGAGGAGGAAGGGAGAGCTGTCAGTGCCACTCCAGGGTCTCCCCCGAGGTCACCGTCTCGTTGAAGCGTTGTCGGGCGTTGTTGTTGTTGAATCGGTGGGCAATGATTAGCGTGAAAAACGCTCGATACCCCGTCTGAGGACGATTGTCGCCGATGCTTCGAGCTGTGATGGCATAGATAGAGCTTGCATGGGGGTGTTTGTTTATAGAGCAGCATTGAGGCGTTGCAAGGATGCATAGTCTAGTCTAGTCAGAGTCATAGTTATAGTTATATGTCAATACACTTGCGGAGTAATAGCTCTATGAACATAAGGACAAAAGAGATGTGGACTTAGAGGCCCCCACCACTTTAGTTAGTGTTTTTGCCTGGTGATGAGGCACGGAGATGATGCCAAGGTATACTTCGATGTCCGGACCAGGACTAGCGTGGCGGGAAGAATCCCGCTCCAGTCACTTTCCAGATTCAATTAATTGCTTCATCCATCCATGATCCATCCATCCACCTCAATCTCCACGACAGGAGTTTATTTCTGACGGGCCGTTGATCGATCGCGAAACGATAATGTTTAAGATTGTCCATTGATTGCCGCTTGCTTCACTCTTTCCTCATCGCTCTCTTGACTACCCGTCGCATCCAGCTCAACCTCCTCAGACACCCACCGCAAGGCGGTAGGCGACACTTCCGCACGCTCCTATCTCCTACGTACAGTACTCCGTCAAGTACAACAGCGCGCCTGCCCAGCAAAGCACTCCGCACGACTTCAGTGCATCTCCTCCATTCCACCTTCTCCCTCAGACATGGCCTCACCCTCGCACCCTTCCAATCCCGGCGCACCAACAACCAACCACCCGATCACCCCTCCAGCCGACCACCACCAATCGACCCCCAACGCGGCCTCCAACATGAACACCACGAACAACACGACGACGACGTCGACGTCGACAAATAACCCCGCCACTACCACCACCGCCAACCCCAACACAACAGCAACCACAGCACCCGCCCCCTCGACGACCCCAGCACCCCCCAACCAACCGACCCAAATCCCCTCCACCTCCCTCAAAGACAGCGGCAAGTCGCGCCGCCCGCGCGATGTCCGCCTCATCCACATGCTCCTGGCCAGCCTGGGCGTGACGGCCTACCAGGAGCGCGTGCCGCTCCAACTCCTCGACTTCGCCTACCGGTACACCTCGAGCGTGCTGCAGGACGCGGTCCACCTGGCGACGGAGGGCTACGCGGGCGCGACGACGGACACGGGGGCGGCGGCGCGCGGCCCGCCCGAGGTCAACAGCGTCAGCCTGCCGGCGCTGCGGCTGAGCATCGCCTCCCGGCTGCACTACCAGTTCCAGTCCGGCCTGCCCAAGGAATTCCTCATGGATGTGGCGGCGGAGCGCAACCGCGTGGCGCTGCCGGGCGCGAGCCGCGGGTTCGATCAGCAGGGCAACTCGAAGGTTGTGGCGGGCAGCCAGGGCAGTGTGCTGATGGGTGGGCTGCGGTTGCCGCCAGAGCGGTTCTGCTTGACGGGTAACGGGTGGAATTTGCGGGAGGAGTGGGAGAGTGAAGGGGAGGAGGAGGTGGAGATGGAGCAGCCGGGGGATTTTGGGGGCGATGGGACGTCGGGCGGTGCGAGGGAAAATGGGGTTACTGGGGTGAAGAAAGAGGAGGATGGCGAGGATGAGGATGAGGATGGCAAGATGGAGGATGTGTTTGGGGAGGATACGGCCATGGGGGAGGATGATGACGGGGATAAGGATATGACGGATGTTTAGTTTGGGGGTTGGGTGGATATGGATGGTGTTTTGGCGCTCGGCGTGAGACTAGGTTTATCGAATTTCGACGAGGAGAGAGGTCAGGCTCTATACCATATCTATAATCATCACGACTTCAGCTTCTGCTCCCCAGCCACTTTTGAATCCTCGAACCCTCAGCCACTCTCTGGTCCATACTATACATGTACAGATATGCTTTCTAAAAGGTAACCTGCATACAACGACCAGACAGAAAAAAAAATAAAGAAACATAAACGCCATATCGTACAGCATAAACAAATGAAAAACATAACGCCCATGAAGAGAGCCCCAGACTTCGCATATCCTCATGCATCCCCATCCCCACTCCCGCCCCCGTCCAGCTCCAATGGTGTGAACTGACCTCCAGCTCCAAAACTCAATCCACTGCTCATCCTAAACCCCGCCCAATCTAACACAAATCAAGAAAGAATATACACCCCGGGCGCATCCTACTTCTGCTGCTGCTGCTGCTGCCGCAGCTTCTCCTCCTCCTGCCGCCGCCGCCGCTCATCATCCGCCCGCATCATCGAGATGACCTGCGCGCGCCGCTCCTCGACGGCATCCAACTTGGCCTGCTCGGCGCGCCGCCGCTCCTCGTGCGTCGCGAACCACTCCTCCCGCGCCCGGTCCTCCTCCTCCGGTTTGGCGTGCGCCAGCATGCACGAGTTCATCGCCAGCCGCTGCTCCCGGCACACCCAGGTGGCTGTTACCGTGCGGTTGACGGCGCATTCGGCGAAGGCTGTACACATATCAAATGACATTAGCATTGTAGATTTTTGTTGGGGGAAAGGAGGGGATTGCTTTGCTGGGATTTGGATTCTTGATAAAGGGGACGGGGGAGCGAGTGGTTCAATTGGGGATTCGGAAGGTGGTAGGAGCAGAAAAAGCTCGTACCCTTGATCTCGGGGGCGCAGTGGCCTCGTACGCGCTTGTAGTATATTTGTTTGACTTCGGCTTCTTGGGTGGCGGAGAGGGGGAGGGGGTTGCGGAGGTTGTATTTTGGGGTGGTCATTTTGGTGGAGGTCTTTGAGCTTTGCAATTGAGGGCGTAAGTGAGGCGAGTGAGCCAGAGGAAGAAAGGATGGGTGTGGGATCGGACTGAGTGGTTGGAGTCCAATGGGTTGCACGATGTAGTAGTAGCGTTGGTCGATCAATGCGTTGATTGTCCGTGTCTGTCTGTCTGTCTGTCGGTGGTGAGGTGGTCAAGTGGTTGACGTCCGGTTCATGTAGGTACACCAACAGCTGTGTATTCAATCCAAGCAAGGAGAGTTTATCCCAAGAGTCAATTAGCCACGCGACAAGATCAACATCCCAAGTCTCAACGATCAATGACCACCGCAGCTCGGAGCTTGGATGCGGACAAAGTTCAAACCGGGTGGACTGATCCCAAAACAGTTTAGTCTCTCCGCCTCTCCGCCTGCCCGCCGACTTTTTTTTGAATAGTCTGGTCTATCTGGCAATCCATCACAACCTCCGTATCAGATCCAGACCCTCTCCGTCTCGTCTGTTTGTCCCTCCCCATCCATTCTCTTTCTCCTCGAGAACTCTGAGCAAGAAAACCGACCGTGACCGTTCACCGGTCCACCCACCTCAGATCAACATGTCCACCATGCGCAACGCCGTCCAACGGCGCAACCACAAGGAGCGAGGCCAACTCCAAGGCCGCGAAAAATGGGGTATTCTTGAGAAGCACAAGGTAAACAACCAGCTTTCCCTTCAGGCCTCTTACTCCTCCCCACGATACTAATTCTTTCCAACAAAAATAGGACTACTCCCTCCGCGCCAAAGACTACAACGCCAAAAAAGCCAAGCTCAAGCGCCTCCAGGAGAAAGTCCGCGACCGCAACCCCGATGAATTTAACTTCGGCATGCTCTCCAGCCACACGGCGCGGCAGGGTCGTCACGGCACGGGCGTGCGGGACTCGGCCGCGGCGCGCGGCTTGAGCCACGATGCTATCAAATTGCTCAAGACGCAGGACGCGGGGTACCTTCGGACGCAGGGGGAGAGGATCCGTCGGCAATTGGGCCGGTTGGAGGAGGAGGTGCAGGTGCAGCAGGGGATCAAGGTGGCGCTTGGGGAGAAGGAGGAGAAGAAAGAGAGGAAGACGAAGGAGAAGAAGGGAGGTGATGATGAGTTTAATGGGTTCGATAATGATATGGATTTCGATTTCGATTTGGGGGATGAGGATGATGAAGAAGAAGATGATATGATCTCCGGGGGGAAGTCGAGGAAGGTGGTCTTTGCGGAAGATCGGGATGAACAGAAGGACATGAAGCGGGAGCGGCTGTTACGGTTGGAAGAGGAGGAGGATGACTCCGAAAGTGACGAGGATGATGACTCGTTCGGTCAGCGCAAGAAGCAACAGCAGAAAAAGTCGCAGAAGCAAGTCGAGGCCGAGCGTCAGGCGCTGGTCGAGGCCAGGCGCGCCCGCAAGATGAAGAAGCGCGCCACGGAGGCCAGAGACAACAAGATCAAGGCCCTGCAGAAGCAGTACAAGGAGATTACGGCCGCAGCCCGCGAGCTGGACTGGCAGCGGGGCCGCATGGACAATGTCGTCGGAGGCACGAATAAGAATGGCGTCAAGTGGAAAATCCGCGAGCGCAAGCGGTGATTTGCCCTGCGTCTGTTTTCTGTCTCTTCAATCGCTGCTACATGATTGATGATTTTATATCGCTTGCTTGTCACTGCATGGGTTGGGACGGAAAAGTTGCCCCGTTTTTGTTCTCTTATTCAAGTGGGTTTATAGATCGCCAGGCGTCCGAGATACCAAATGTTCTTCATATTGTACATTGATCGTCACAAGGGAATCATACTTTTCTGATTGGCTATGCTTGCAATATTACGCGCGTCAGATCGTAACCAGCTGCTAAAGAAAACGAAACATTACGCATCATCATCAAACTACTGCTGCTGCTTCTTCATGTGCGCTACACGGATGCTCACAGCCCGCTTGTGCGCATCGAGACCCTCAACCGCAGCCAGCTGCTCCACCGTACGAGACAGACCCAGAAGACCCTCCGCGGTCAAATTAGAGCTGGTGATGTGCTTGAGGAAGGATCCGAGGTTCACTCCAGAGTACTGCTTGGCATATCCATAGGTAGCTGCGAATCATTAGCCATTGCTTCCAGGAGATAGAAGGATAAACTTACGGAGAGAGTGGTTCGTGCCAGCAGAGTAGTCGCCCACGCTTTCGGGGGTCCACTGTCCGACAAAGACACTTCCGGCGTTCTTCACACTCGCCACAGCCGCCTCAGCGTTCTGAATCTGCAGGATCAGGTGTTCGGGAGCGTATTCGTTGCTCAAAGCCATGGCTTCAGCGAGGTCACGCACAACGAAAGTGACCGAGTGGGCCAAGGAGCCCTTCACAATGTCGACACGAGGAAGAGCCTTGGCCTGGATGTCAACCTCCTTCTCAATAGCCTGGAGCTGCTCCTCATTCAGATCGATGGCAATGAGGATAACCTGGGAGTCCACTCCGTGCTCGGCCTGGCTGAGAAGATCAGAAGCCACGAAAGCCGGGTTGGCATCCTTGTCCGCAATCACCAACACCTCACTAGGACCGGCGGGCATGTCAATGCTGACACCAGCGGAGGTGTCGTTGGAGACCAACATCTTGGCCGCCGTGACGAACTGGTTCCCTGGTCCCAGGATCTTGTCCACCTTACTGACGCTCTCAGTACCGTACGCCATGGCCGCAACCGCCTGGGCACCACCAGCGAGTACGATACTCTCGGCACCCACCTTGTGAGCAACATAGACAATCTCGGGAGAGATGCTGCCATCGGCACGAGGAGGAGACGCGAGAACAATCTTCTCACAGCCAGCCACCATGGCTGGAACTCCCAGCATCATGGCCGTGGACGGCAGAACCGCCGTTCCACCAGGGATGTAGAGACCAACCCGCTCAATGGGGCGCGAGAAACGAGAGCACACGACACCGGGCATGGTCTCAACCTTGAGGCCCTCAGGGCTGCCCTTTTGAGCGCTGTGGAACTTCTTGATGTTGGAAATACTGATGTCAAGGGCTTCCTTGGTCTCAGGGGACAGCTTCATCAGCTCAGGTGCGAATGGGGCACGGATGACAGGAGAGGTCAGGGAAGTAGCCTTCTCAAACTTGTGGGTGTACTTGAGCACGCCGGCATCGCCATTCTCGCGGACATCCTGGATAATGGGGCGAACGAGAGCAACAATCGCATCGTTGGACTTCTGGGAGGGACGCTTGAGATACTCCTTCACCTGGTCAACCGGAGTCGAGGCGGTAATCACACGAGTCATCTGAAGAGGCTCATCATCAACCTTCTTGGGAGCCGGCTCAGGGGCAGCAGGCTTCGACTCGGGGGTGGCGGCGGTCAAGCCAGCCTTCTCCGCCCAGGGGCCCTTGGCATCACCCTTTCTGCGCTTGACCTTCAAGCTCTTGAGATCAAGGTTGCGCTCCACGTCCTCAAGGCTGACACCAGCAGCGACACAGCGAGTCAGGGCAAAGTAAAGCAGATCGGCGGCCTCGAAAGCAATCTCCTCCTTGGTGTTGGCACGGCACAACTCATCAGCCTCCTCCATGATCTTTGCCTGCGTGAGCTTGGGCTCGTTGAAGAGGCGTGCAGTGTAGGAGCCGGCGGGAGCATCGGCCTTGCGAGCCTGCAGCGTCTTTTGCAGACGAGCGAGGCCGTTGTAAGGTCCGAAGCAGCTGGGAGCACCCAAGTGGCAGAAACCTATTTATGGTTAAGCGAGAACGACATATGCGGTGTGGATAGACTTACCTCTACCAACCTGGTTGACAACAAAGACCAAGCAGTCGCTGTCGCAATCGAAACCAATGCGGATCAGTTCTTGCACATCTCCACTGGACTGACCCTTGTACCACAAGCCACGCTTCCGGCTTTGGTAGACGCCCGTACCGGTGCGAAGAGCCTCTGCAATGCTTTCATTGCTACTCCAAACCAGTCCCAAGCAGATTCCTCTTTCATCGGTGACGGTGGTTGCATAAAGACCGTTGCTTTGGTCGGTCACAGCGCGAGCGGCGACCAATGAGGCGGCGACAATCTTGCCGTTGGGTTGTTGGTGGTCGAAGGTCAGAGCGTCGGCGGGAACAACACAGACACCTCCTTGACCGATAGTGTCCTTCAAGGCCTCCTCAGTGACAGCGCCAGAGTATGTGCGATAAAGGTTCTGAGCCTCGAGGTTGACGTTCAATTGCTCAGCCAGAGACTTGATGGCAGAGGCATCGGTAGATAGACCAGCCTCTTGGCGCTCGGCAGATCCGCCAACCCAGGATTGGAAGGCATTGACTTGGCTCTCGGAGGCAATGGCGACGACCCGAGATGAGGGGACGGACTGTTCTTCGGACAAGGTGGTCAACTGGTTGAGTGTGACAAAGATCTTGGCGGCACCGGCGTTGAGGATGTCGACCAAGTCACCGGAGGAGGCAATAGCAGAGGCATCGACGTAGACATCAAGGAGACGGAAGTTGCGCTTGAGGAACTCCTCTGCCTGAGCGAGGCTGGAAACCTTGATAAGAACGCGACCGAAGTAGGCGATCTGCTTCAGCGACAAACCGCCGGTGGAGGCGGCGGCGGGGTCGTACGAGACGAGAAGGGGAGTCGACATGGTGAGGCAATCGAATTCAAGTCAATGATTGAAGGTGGAGGTAATAGAGACAGATAGATGAGGCCCCAGAGCGGGGGGGGGAGAGAGAAACAGGACAGGGAAAATTGATGGGGAAAAAGAAGGTGGGGAGAGAGAAGAAGATTCAAGAGGATGGATGGATGGATGGATGGTGAGTATGAATCATACGTAGGAAGAATACTGAGTAATTCCTATCGGTTCCGCCTGCAATTTTCTCGCCTGCCCCGCAATCGGAGTTGTTGACCGCCTGCCTGGTTGAGACAAACCGGGGGGAAGGGTTTGATTGGCTGACCGCCTTATGCACGGGTCAGGCACATTCACTGCCAGCCCACTGAAGTGTGAACCAAGGCTTACGTCAGGGATGGGATCATCCATTTCCATTTGTCCTACTGGAATCATGGATCTTACATTAACTTACCAAATCTGCCACAGCCTAATTGCAAACGCCGGCAGCCACTGGCACTGCACTGCATACTTAGCCATGGCCCTGTCCCACAGAACTGTGCCTGACCGGACAACTTATTTTTGAGGATCAATAACCTTGTTGGTTCCAGTTCCTCTCTTTCACTCCATGGGGGGCGGTTTCGGACGCAACCCCCTGACTAACTACCTAGTATAACTAGTGACATTCTGGCTAAAGATAGTCTAGTCAGCTAGTTAAGGGTCTTTCACCTCTTTTGCCGAGTGCTCCTGCTGCTCCTGCCGATCATTTCCATCAATGAGGGGAAATGCGATCATCTGCTTTCTCTCCGCATCATCTGCTCTGACCCTTGACAGGCGAGCTGACCTGCCCCAGTGATGTCTCCAGAAGTCTAACTGAATCAAATTGAGGCAACGGGGTCCGATTCGACCTTCGACTTGTCACACTCTCGGGCGTCTGGTCTGGTGCCTGGACTCTGGGATGAACAAAAAGGAAGAAGGTACTCATATCCAGACTGATCCGGTCCAAACCGGAATCCACCCTTGCAGCTCAATGCATAGCATGGACGGTGGAGGCCCCTGCAGTCACCAATCGCGGTCCCCAGATCGGCGAGGAATGGACCAACTGCTGGCCATGATGTAGCCTTTCTCTCCCTATGCATGCCTCCTGCTCCTTCAGGTCCAGGCTCCTTCTTCTTAAACTCCTAAATTATTCTCCACCCTCCCCCCCCCTCTCTCCTCTTTTCCCCATCCTCATCGTCGACAACTAGCACCGAATTGCGGGATCTAGTGCGTGCGATCGTTATTTATACTGGTTGCCCCTCCCCTCCGCCTGTTCTCCTCAGGCTGTCACTCTTTGGGTTTGTTTCTGCTCTCGAGTGTAGTACCCATTCGTTGTCTATAATTTCCCGTGTTGCCCTTGTGTCACTCTCTCACCGGGGTCATGCATTTTCCCTCACTCTCTTTGTCGCTCACGGCGTTGGCTCTCGTCAGCCCTAGTGCCGCCTTTCCGCAAGCCCGATTTGTCCAGCCCGTTCTGCGCACCGAAGACAAAGCTCAATCGCGCGCCGATGCCGTCAAAGAGGCCTTTTCCCACGCTTGGGATGGCTACTATCAATATGCGTTCCCCCATGACGAGCTGCACCCCGTTTCCAATGGCTATGGGGATTCTCGTAACGGATGGGGAGCGTCCGCGGTGGATGCCCTATCTACCGCCGTGATCATGCGCAATGCGACCATTGTTAATCAGATTCTTGACCATGTAGCGAAGATTGACTACTCGAGCACCAGTAGCACGGTCAGCCTGTTCGAGACCACCATTCGCTACCTTGGCGGCATGTTATCCGGCTATGACCTGTTGAAAGGCCCTGCCGCCGACCTGGTGGACGATCCGTCGAAGGTCGACACGCTGCTCACTCAGTCCAAGAACCTGGGCGACGTTCTAAAATTTGCCTTTGACACCCCGTCGGGCGTTCCGTACAACAATCTCAACATCACCTCTAAAGGTAACGATGGAGCCACCACCAATGGCCTTGCAGTCACCGGCACCCTTGTCCTGGAATGGACACGTTTGTCCGACTTGATTGGAGATTCTACCTACGCGGACCTGAGCCAAAAGGCCGAGTCTTACCTGCTCAACCCCCAACCCCAATCTGCGGAGCCTTTCCCCGGATTGGTAGGAAGTAACATCAACATTGCGACTGGCCAATTTGCCGACGGAGCGGTGAGCTGGAACGGTGGAGCTGATTCGTACTACGAGTATCTGATCAAGATGTACGTGTACGATCCCAACCGATTCGAAACCTACAAAGACCGCTGGGTGGCGGCGGCCGAGTCATCCATGAAGCACTTGGCGTCGCACCCGTCCACGCGCCCGGACCTGACATTTTTGGCCTCGTACAACAATGGTAAGCTGGGCCTGAGCTCTCAGCACCTGACTTGCTTCGATGGCGGTAGCTTCCTGCTCGGTGGCACGGTGCTGGACCGCTCCGACTTGATCGACTTTGGTCTGGAACTAGTCAACGGCTGCCACGACACCTACAATTCGACTCTTACCGGCATCGGCCCGGAGGCATTCAGCTGGGACCCGAACTCTGTCCCCAGCAGCCAACAGTCTTTGTTCGAGAGCGCTGGCTTCTACATCACCAGTGGCGCGTATATCCTCCGACCGGAAGTGATCGAGAGCTTCTATTACGCGTGGCGCGTGACTGGCCAAGAGATTGTAAGCAAAGAGGCCCTTTGGATGAAGTGTTGACGGCTGACAAACAAACCTTTAGTATCGCGAGTGGATCTGGAGCGCCTTCCAGTCAATCAACAAGTACTGCCGCACCGACTCGGGATTCGCGGGCCTGACTAACGTCAACGCCGCCAACGGAGGCAACCGCTACGATAACCAGGAGAGTTTCATGTTCGCCGAGGTGCTGAAGTACTCGTACCTGGCGTTCGCACCGGAGGATGAATGGCAGGTGCAGAAGGGGAGTGGGAATCAGTTCGTGCTGAACACGGAGGCCCACCCAGTGAAGGTGTACAGTTCATAGGCTTCGAGCCTTGCAGTAAGAGCCTGGCTGATGGTGCTATTTTCCGTGTAGAAGTCTAGAGTATAGAGTTAGACACGGAAGTACATACGTACATATTGTTCGAGTAAATGGGAATATTCTTTGAGGGCCATAACTTCATAGATACTGAGTATTTAGCCACCACAAGGGTGACTAAGACCTGATGTAAATGCAGAGTAGCACAGCCTTTACCCACGCCTTCAAGAAGACCTTCTCCTCTAAATGGGAATCCTTCTCAAACATTCTCAAGATAGGCAGCTATTGTCAAAGGAATGAAGGTCAAATCAGAATGCAGTCCTTTAATTCAACAACAAAGAAACCACCTCAATAGAGATAGACTTCGCCCCACTGTGGCCCCACTTTCCACCCCACTCCCCGCGTTGATTTGCGCAGATTTGAGCATCTTCGAGTATAGATCCCTACCTCCAGTGCTGAGTGTCTACGTTGTATCTACCTTGGTAGCCAGACCACTTCCCGGGGCCACCTTGGAGACTGTCTCCCCATAAGTTCCTAAGGTTCTCTCTCCGTCATGGCAGAGCCATCCATATCAACCCTCATCTTCAATTCTCACGTCAACCCTATAACTTCCTATACAAACGTCCTCCATAACCAAACCTCCGTACCGTCTCTTCAGCACAACTCCACCATCTTCCAGATATCACCAGAAGATGTGCGGCCCCACCCGCCCCAGCACCGGCAACCTCATCGCCATCATCTTCCCCTCCCCCGAAAAGTCCTCCTCCTACTCCCTGACCTTCAGCCACGACACGCGCACTCCCGACGGCCCGACGAGGGCGATCTTCCGATTCCCCGATCCCAAGGTCCGGGATATCTTTGCCGCTGCCCGGGGGGTGGACTTGCGGATCGAGTGAGTTGCTTCCATTCCCCCCTTTCATGCTGTGGTGGGTTCTTCTCGTCTTCTTTGCACAGAGCTAATACTTTTGGTGGTTGGGGATAGGAAATATGGGGATTTGACCGCCTCTACGGGTGGGGGTGTTGAGCCGCCGTTGCATTGGTTTCGGGTTGGGTTTGGTGGGACTCAGTCATCACAGGAGCAGCAGCAGCAGCAGCAGGTGATTGAGGTGGTGTTGCCGGAGAGGTTGGAGCTGGGGGTGTCGGGGACGGGGATTGTTGGGCGCGAGGTGAGGGTGGCGGTGGATGGGGTGGATGCCATGGTTGAGATGGGGAGGGGGGTCGTTGGGTTTGATTAAGCTGTCTAGAGTATTTCGATGTTTATGTTTAGATGTTTGGGAGTATGGAGTACTAAGGAGTTACGGGTGGGGGTTTGGTTCGTTAAGATACAGTACCGCTGGATGGGAAGTTACTATATTAGATGATAACCTGAATTGACGTCAATCACTTGCTTGTCGTAAGATCTCGACCAACTATATGTAAGATTACAACTTCAACAAAGCAGCTCCATCCACCCCGTTAGTGTACCTCTCCTCCGCCTCCACCCAATTAATCACCTTCCAAATCTGCTCCACATACCCCGCCTTGTTGTTCAGATACTACACCACGCGTAAGCCTTCAATCTATCCACAAGACAAATCACATACCTGGAGATAATAAGCATGCTCCCACATGTCCACACCCAGAATCGGCACCTTCCCTCCAACCACCGGATCCTGGTCCTTGGTGCTCACGATCTCCAGCTTCCCACCGGGCCCACCCACGCTCACCAACCACCCCCATCCGCTCCCCTGCAGCCCAAGCAGGACCGCCCCGAAGGCGGCGGTGAACTGCTCCACCGACCCCCACTGCTGCTCAAGGGCGCGCTGGAGGGTCGGGGCTGAGCGGGCGATGTCCGTGGCCGGGGAGCCGTGGGGGGCCAGGTTGCGCCAGAAGAGCGAGTGGTTGATGTGGCCGCCACCGTTGAAGGTGAGTTTCTGCTGGATGCTGAGCAGGGCGGGGATGTCGTTGGTGGCAAGGGCGGTGGTCTGGGCGTCGAGGGCGGCGTTCAGGTTGGTGATGTAGGTTTGGTGGTGTTTTTGGTGGTGGAGCTGCATGATTTGTTGGGAGATGACGGGCTCGAGGGCCTGGTTGAAAGTTCGTTAGCACTTTCTGAAGCATGTCGGGATTTGTTGACGAGGTTAGCAGAGTGGTTTAGCTTACATCGTAGGCGTAGGGGAGAGGTGGGAGGGTGTATTTGGGGGACATCGTGAGGTTCTCGTTGCTATGGTAGTAGCTGTTGTGATGATTGCTAGTCGACGGTGCGCAGAGATTCTTTGGGAATGGAAATCAGTAGACAATGACGAAGAGTTGTGAGAGGAAGAAATAGAAGAGAGGGGGAGGGAGATGGAGGGGAAGGTAAAGGCAGGATCTCCAAGGTCCTCCTTCTCTCCTCTTCCCTCTCTCCTCTTCCCTCTCTTCTCTCTCCCCCTCATGTTAGTCGATGCGCACGTTTGAGCACATTCTTACCTCTTCCAGGGCCTGCCAGCTTTTGAATTACGTCCCCGTCAATCTCCCTTCCCTAAAAAAGGTTGAAGAAAGATACCCTCTCATAGGCTAAAGCTCTGCCACCGAATGCAAGCAAGTAATGGCTGGTCTCGTCATCTCCTTCCGCCATCTTACCATTTTCAAGCCACCGAACGAAATCGAGATACTAAAGTCCTGAACGTAATCATTATTCTGACAGAGGACATGACACAAAGATCAGAGGCATGAAAGTGAGCTAATATACGCCATTCATGGATGTCTGAGCATTCTGCTGCACTAGAGAAAGAGCCGTCAGAATGTCCAATATGGGTTCTCCACCTGTCTCTCTCTCTTGCCAATAATTAGCAAGTTAGGAACTCAATTGGAGTCAACAAAGAACAAGAATCATCCTCCAGCTGAACAGCAAACATGCTTCATTCCAAAACGGAGGCCTGAGCACCTTCTGCCTCGCATGTCTCAAGCCTCAACATGGCTGAGACTTCTCGCCTTGCGAGCAACAGATGTTGAATGAGACACGGCCCAGCACTAGCAATTTCTTAGACTTGCTTCTCCATCACAAAGGTTTGAGCCTTAGTTTGAGAGCAAATGAGCAATTGAGTAGATGAAGCTATGCCGACAGCTGCAGTCCTCAACCCAGATATGGTAGCAGAATCTTTCTCGGCAGACTTCAACAATGCACTTAGACGACTGGCTGGTTTCTTGAAAGCTCAGGGCTATCTACTCGGGGGGCTACGCGACGTAGCTGGGCAAATCTAATAAGTAGCCGCTACCGAGCTCAGAAGCTAGCATATTGATGGTTAACAGAGACATGCTGAATCTTTTTCGACCGACGAAACCGGCTAAATGCCAACTAGAAACGCCAGCAGTGGATCAAGTCATCTATGAGTGTCAGTTACGAAGCACCTGGCCTATGCGGTCATCATGAGCAACAGAACTACTCAACAAGTGTTCTCTACACCCACAGAAGCCCCAACCTGAGTTTGAGCAACAGACACATGTCTTGAATAAGACCTACCTGGCCTTCATCACCAGTGAAACTGTTCAACTACCAACCCGTTCATCCTAAAATTGTTCATCACAAGGGCGTCAGCATACCCCTGATCAGCCGACACATGTCTTTGGTCTCTTCCAACTCAAGGAAAGACAACATGAAATACCAACTAGTAGCGCAGCGCAACGATGGACACCCGGCATCAAGCCCCGGCCTATTCAGTCATCACGACAGGAGGAATTGTCTGATATAAAAGCAAGTATACTCGCCGGCATACCAATGGCTCCTCAGACCAGACTCTCCTTTCCAATTCCCAAGCAAATTCTACCCAAAGCAACTCCCAACACACAAGTCTCTCCGGAAAACTGTCCAAAACGATTCTCCACCACTCCAAGCCCAGCAGCTACGATGTCATCCTTGCACCTCGAAGCAGAAGAACTCATCCGTCAAGCGGAATACATCATGATCCAAGCCTTGAAACGGCTTGCCTAATATGAAATTCCTCATCGTCAGGGAATCCCTCTACCATGAGTACCTTCGTCAGTGGAACCAACCCGTTCCACCCAGGGTACGTTACCATCTAGTGCCCACAACCGAACTCATGGAGTGCTTTGTGCTAAAGGCAGAACTCGCTGCTAGGAATGGGATAGCATGATCGTACTGGACTTCGAGGGATTCTACCCGCGCTTGACAGTGCGAGACGTCATTGACCAGGTCCGAACCTACTGCAGTTGCACCGTACCAATGCCCTATCAACCTGCGCTTGCGGTGAATGGGATCGTGATCAAGTTAGTTCCAGGGTACTCTGTAAGCCAGGCAGCCATGTGATTTTGTTTCTATCTTGTCTTTTCTTTGCGCTCTTTCGTTCATTCTTATTGCGGGAAGGGCCATGCTAATGGAAATGCCAGCTTATGCATGGAGACCAGGAAGCTCCATGGCTGAACTCAATCGGTGGCTGGGGCACTGCGTACCCGTATGCGTACCCGTCTGATCTTAGGAGATTGCACAACGTTTGGCAATGTCTCTATAACTCGCAGGATTAGGGTGATTCTTTAGTAGTGATCGGGTGTTGAGGTTGTCGACTCTCGGTGAGGACTTCTCCATTGACGAGGATGAGAAGGTTACTCGAGTGATGGGCTTTACTACAAGGCATTGAGCTCCGCTACGCTATCATCCAGAGCTGCAAGTATGATGATATATCATACCGAGGAGGAGTGCGAAGAAGAGATAGTTTTGTTTGTTTTGCGAAATCAAGTTTGAGATTTTGTCTGCTTTTCGGATACAGCACGGCCCAGGGGGACTTGATAGCCCATAGGAGTCAGTAGCAATAAGTGACAGTGTGACTCTGGGATGTTCGAACAGTAGTACTCCGTACCCTGATGTGCAATCCCATCAGTCTCGATAGCATCATTCCGACCTTGCAGAGACCCAACTGCTTGACCATCTTCCACCTGCACTTTCTCTGTCTGCCTCTTCACCTCTCCCGATCTCAACTCTTTCTACCAAGCCAAAAGTCATCCATCCCTATCACAAACGAAAGGGCCCACGCAGCATTCACAACCAATGAAACTACGCACCTTGGAAAAAAGCTCTAGCATCCTCTCAAACCCAGCAAACACAATTCCCGGGGACCTTTTCAGCCTGTAAAGACCAGACAATCGGAACGAGCAAACCACGACCATACCGCGGCAACATGCAGCAAACAAAATGACCTTGGATGGAACTCATCAGAGGGACACCTTGCAGCATAAAAAGCAAGAAGGATACTTCTTTCGTTACTCTTTCTGTTATTTGATATTGCCCTAAGAAGAAGAAGGGGAACTCACCCCTCGGAAGAAAAACAGCTTTTCTGCGAAACAGACGTCTCTTCTCCACGAAAGAAACCCCCAAAGCAAGATCTCTCTCTCTCTCCCTCCCTTTCTTTCTCCCTTTCTCTCATAACCGACTTGACTGACCCCTCCGCGAGAACAATCTCTCCACAGATTCCACGGATCAACAAAGAAATCACAATGAAGTCTCCCGAATTGATCTACGGGTTCAATAAGCTCAGTATCAGGGGGGAGGATCCTGACGCGGAGGAGGAGGAGGAGGAGGATGAAGAGGAAGACGAGGAAGAAGAGGAGGAGGAGGAAGAGGAAGAGGAGGAGGACAAGGATGACAATGGAAAGGATGACTGTGACCGATATCTGGAGGAGGAGGAATACGAGAAGAGAAGGACCAAGAAGTTCCTCAATTCGCGGGGGCATGAAGAATTCTACTTTGTGGACCGGGATGTCAGTAGTGATGAGGATCAGGATTATCCTGATAGTGATGAGGATGATAGTGATAGTGATGAGGGTTGGGAATATCCTTGATCCCATCCGTGAGTGAGGGGCGAGCAATGAATTCCGCTTCTGGGATGATGCGCTTTTGGTTTGCTGATGCGTAAGAGGGGATAACTTAGAGGCATGGCCCGCTTGTTTTGTGGTTGTTTGGCTTCCGTTTACAGCACAGCACAGCACGCCTTTGCAGGACGGCTTGCTTGCTTGTAGGAGAGATTGGGGTGCTTTGGACGGTGAAGTTCTGGGAGAACATCTATCGCCTTGAGGGTTAGCCAGAAGAGCTCCACAGGCCGGTGGGTAGACCATCTCAATCCATCCCATCAGCCCCAGTCCCATTATCCTCCACACCACGAGAACCATCAACTCCGTCCTCATCCTTTCCTCCTTCATCTCCCTCCCTCCGTCTCTCCAATTCCCGCTGAAAAGCCAAAGTATACTCATCCGCGTCCCAAACATGAGGCCTACTCGCCCTCTCCGCCATCTTCCTCGTCAAAAGCATTTCCATCTCCTCTTTCTCCTCCTCACTCAACATCCCAACCCGCTCCTCCCACGCCCTCTCTACCCCTCGGCCACTAACCCCGAAAAACCTCTCATCAATCTTCAACCAATAAACCAGATCAAACGCAAAGCTGTTCCGCAGCGCATACATTACCCAGAAGTCCCCACTCTCCCAGCTCCGCCGCATCGCACCGGACAACCTCTGCCCCTCGTGCAACCGCCCCCGCTGGATTGCTCGATCCTCACACTCCGTCATCACTTCCAGAAACGTGCGCAGCCGGGCCCCAAACACCCGAGTCCACTCCTCAATCCCCCCGGCCCATTCCTCGGGCCGCTCGATCAGAAGCCACCACGGCGGAGCGTGGGAGAACTCCACGGGGGCAGCGTAGGTGAACTCCCAGTCGACCACCCCGGCTATTTGCAGGTCTTGGGATAGAAGTACATTGGCGGGACGGAGGTCGTCGCACCAGAGATTGAAGGGGCCATTCTCCAGTGCTGGAGTGGTGAGGCGCTGTTCGCGGGCGAGGCTACGGAAGAGACACCGCGCGACGTACTTCCTCCGACAGTCGTCCGCGGAGGTGACTGCGTCGTTGCGTTGATGGATTAGATGGTCGAGATTCAGGTCTGCCAGGAACTGAACGTATGATGAGGCGGTGGGGAATGTCGTGTCTATGTGAGGTAGCTGGGAGCGAGGCAGACAGCCCAGACGGACGAGCTCGTTCATGTTCATCGACAGCGGTCGGCGTGTCACCTCCCAGGTGAAGTCGTCCTGCTGGCTGAGCGAGCCGATTCGCGGGAGGGCAGGGAGGGAGAGTTGTAGTAGCACGTCGGCCATCTGGGCGTACAGTCTCCGCAGCTTAGCCTCTGCGATGTCGGGGTCGAGCACCCCGCGTTGCTCCCTGGGAAGACCGGGGGTGTTGAGCGCGTCGTACAGTTTTGTCTCGTGCTCGATGTACTCCATGAGGATGAATGGGATAGGGATGGTGGTCTGGTCGGCGAGGAAGCGCATGACTGAGACTTCGTTCACGATCTTCTCTTCAGGGAAGAGCACGGCGCCGGGCTGCGGGAAGCGAATGACGGTGGCGCCGTTGGGGTCATACTTCAAGCGCAGAGAGATGTTGTAAGAGCCTTTCCTGAGGATGGCGAATTCGGTGGCGTTGCCGCGGTTGTGGAGGAGGATGAAGTCTGCGATTGGGCGCAGGATGTCGATTTCTAGGAATTGGAGGAGCCAGGTGTCGGAGATGGTTTCGGCCTGGGCCCAGCATACGTCGTCGGGGGAGATGTTGAGGTTCATGGTTTGGTGCTGGGGAGATGGAGTACGGCTGGCTTAGTGGTACTGGGTAGTGTGAACCACTTGATTCTTAATAAGATGTCAATGAAACAGGAAGATGGTTAGAATAAAGGAAGTTCGAGGTCAATAGTATCACATCCATCATGCCTGCATGCATGAGACTACATGCTCATCAAACAGGACAAACACATGTTAGGTAACACCAGTCTAACCCCCCCTGTCAACTGTCAACTGTACTGAACTGTACTATAACGTTACTTCATGTTTGCAACTTCATCCATGCATCCATCACCACAAACCCGACGCACAACACCTCAACCTCAACCTCAACCTCTAAAACCTATAACCCAGGTGATCCACATCCAACTCCCTAAATCAACCCAAGTCCCGAACTACAAAGACCCACCGACCCAAAACCTAATCCACCAACCCCGTTCCCGAACGCCTCCGATCCCCGATCCCAACCGAGCTCGGTGAGTCAAAGAACATCCATCATCCTCACCGGGCACGCCTTGGTTCTCTTCATCTCAGCGGAAGCGGAAAAAATAGGGATCTGTTTTCTTCTTTGATCTTGTCTCGGGACTCGGAAGTTTCAAGAGATTGTGGAACCTGAAGGCCCACGGGCTCGGGAAGTTCTGGATCCATGGATGAAAGCTGCCTAGGGAAGGAGAAAGGAAAAGGGGATGATCTCATCATGTGTCAATCCGAGTAAAAGTTTTGGGTTCCGATGCGCACCGAGATACTTTTCTTTATATAAGCTGGGGTTTCTGGATGGGTGGTTGTGTTTTTTTTTTTGGAGTTCTTGGTTCTGGTGATAGATCGGATTCGGTTCAATTGAGCGCAGGTCCTGTACAATTGCTGTGTGCGGACGGTACATACTTACATTATGAGACGGATGTTATCATCATCCTTCTGGGGTAGGGCCCCTGCTAGAGTGCAGAGTCTGAAATCATCCTCGACCTTGAGCATTGGCAGGGAAAGAGGAAGGTCGATATCGCTGCTCTCTAGCAGACCACGAGTTGACCAGGATGCCCTATCTACAAAAACTGCATCTATACTCACATCATCAAACACACCCACAGTCACAGCCAGACCCCTAGCAACACATACCTCAAATTCATCGACTCCGATCCCCAGCCCCGACAAGCCCCGAGTCGTCATCCTCGGCTCCGGCTGGGGAGGATACAACCTCTCGCGCAAGCTCTCCCCCGCCCACTTCACCCCAACCATCATCTCGCCGCGCTCCTACTTTGTCTTCACCCCGCTGCTCACCGACACCGCCGGTGGCTCCCTCGACTTCTCGCACATCGTCGAGCCCGTGCGCGACCGCCACACCAAGGTCGATTTCATCCAGGCCGCCGCCCGCGCCGTCGACTTCGCCTCCAAGACCGTCATCTGCGAGGCCACCGTCGTCAAGAGCGGGGTGACCGAGTCCCCACGCACTGACGACGGCGAATCTCAACCCCCACAAGCATCCCCCACGCGCACCTGGGAGAAAGGGGAGACTTTCTCGGTCCCCTACGACAAGCTGGTCATCGCCGTCGGCACCGTCAGCAGGACCTTCGGCACGCCCGGCGTGCGCGAGAATGCGTTCTTCTTCAAGGATGTGGGCGATGCGCGGCGCGTGCGGCGCCGCGTGCGCGAATGCTTCGAGCTAGCCGTCTTGCCCACCACCTCGCCTGAGATGCGGCGCTGGCTGCTGCATTTCGCGATCGTCGGCGCGGGGCCCACCGGGACGGAGCTGGCGGCGGCGCTGCGGGATTTCATCTCCGCGGATCTCATGGCGCTGTATCCCTCGTTGAAGGGCATTCCGAGGCTCTCGCTGTACGATGTGGCGCCCACGGTGTTGTCGATGTTCGATGAGTCGCTGTCGAAATATGCGATGGACACGATGCGGAAGGAAGGGGTGGACATTAAGGTTTCACATCATGTGGAGGGGTTGCGATGGGGCGCTCCGGGGGAGGAGGCGCCCGCGGAGATGGATCCGAAGCGGTGTTTGACTCTAACTACGAAGGAGGAGGGCGAGGTCGGCGTAGGTATGTGCGTCTGGGCGACGGGAAACGCAATGAATCCTTTCGTTCGAGACGCCTTGGCCGATGTCCAAGCATTCCCAAACGAGTCGGCTTTGCTCAAGGACGGGAGCGGCCGCCCGAGTGAGGACGTCGTGCAACGGTCCGCGTGGCATGTTAAGAAAGCGCCGAAAGTCGGAGCGCTGTTGGTAGATGAGCAGTTGCGCGTGCAGCTGGAGAACGAGAGTGGGGACACAGTGGTGCTGCAAGACGTTTTTGCCCTGGGGGACAACGCCATGCCAGAGAAAGGCGCACCACCAGCGACGGCACAGGCAACTTTCCAGGAGGCCAAGTGGCTGGCTAATCGTCTCAACCGGGGAGATTCGCAGCCCACGGCCCCATTCTCGTTCCGCAACATGGGCACGTTGGCATACATTGGAAACGCGAATGCCCTGTTGCAAATCCCGCACGAAAACGGAGAGCATCATAAGTACCTCCCAGAGGGGCTGAAGGGGCGGACCGCTTGGTTGGTGTGGAACTCAGCGTATCTGACCATGAGCATCAGCTGGAGGAATAAGGTTCGAGTTGCGGTTCGCTGGATGTTGAATCACCTCTTTGGCAGAGACGTGTCGAGGTACTAGACTAATGGCAATAGCCTTCGATGGACGTATCATAGGCCGAAAGAAGTGAAACGGCTCTGTCGATGTTGTTCAAAGCATGGCAGGAACTTGCACATCTCTCCTCACAACTCGATCAATCAGCTCCATGGCCTGGAAGAGCTCGTAGTCATGCTGCTTGGGCGTAATGACCTGCACACTCAGCGGCGAACCCAAGTACACTCGGCGATCCACAGTCTTCTGGTTCCCTTTTGACCATTAGAATCCAGTAGGAAAGACAATAGAAGAAGAAACATACATAGCAGCCGATTAGCCCCATCCCAGCTCCCCAAAACCGGTGCCGTCATCTCCGTCCCCAGCTCCAGATCCTCCTCTTTGAACGAGCGCACGGGAACGGTGCCCGCCGGGTAATCAAGCAGCACCCAGGACGAAGTATACCCAACCGCATTGTACCGATCCAATTCCGGCACTGGATGCGGCGCGACCGGGTGAATGATCGCATCAATGTCTCGAGTGTAACTTGCATCTGCTGTCACCCCCCGAGACGTCCACATTTGCAGCATCTCCCGCTCAACCTGGGCTCGTTGTGCTTGCAACTCGCCTACCTGCGCGAGCGTCATTTCCCGACCCCGCTTCATCCGGCCCTTCAGCCAGGGTATCAAGGGCTCCCCGGTACTCTCCAGCAGATCCATCATGGGGTTGCCCCCGTCAACCCCCATCAGTCGACCAGCAATACCTTGGCATTTGCTCAGAGCCGCAGGCACAGGGATCTCCACGACCCTGACTCCGGGCGTCCGTCGCAGTAACTGTGCTACCTCGTCGATGACCTTGGCGACAGGTGGAAGAGGCTCGACCAGCCCATCGCGACGGAGGATCCCGATAGTGAAACTTTTGCGTTTCCCAGAGGGAGATTGAAGCTTGGTGTCGGCAGAACCTCCATTTAATGGAGGACAACCAAAGATGCTACTATCAAGCCATCTGCCTGGAATTCCCTCCTCACTGAAGAGCTCCGTGCGAGGCACGATCTCGGCCATCACGACCCCCAGATCTGCGACCGAGCGGGCCAGAGGCCCAGCCACCGGCTGAAGACTGATCCTCCCCTTGCCGGCCATGCTGCCTGCCTCTTGAATTCCTGCAATCGGCACGCGACCTGCACTGGGCTTGAATCCGTACAGCCAGGTGCACATGGCAGGAATCCGGATGCTACCGCCAATGTCGGTGCCAAAGCCGACCATCGACCCGCGCATTGCGAGGAGGGCCGCTTCACCTCCCGTGCTGCCTCCGACGGTCAAGCGACGGTTGAGTGGATTGAGCGTCCGGCCAAACAGGTGGTTGCAGGAGTCGAGGGCGCCCATGGTCTGAGGGACGTTGGTCTTGGCGATAATGATAGCGCCCAGGGAGGTGAGGAGGTTGACGAGCGGCGAGCTTTGGGCTGCTGGGTGAAAGGCTAGGGCAGCAAGGCCAGTGGTGGAGTCTACGCCGGTGATATGGAATGAATCCTTGACGGAAACAGGGAGGCCATGTAGGGGACCAATGGGCTGGCCGGTGCGTTGGAGATGGTCGTCGAGCTTCTGGGCTTGCTGAAGGGCTTGCGTGAAGACAGGCTCCGTGAGGCAACGTGTGAGTTGATGTGCAATTGCGGCTCGCTGCAAGTGCCCTGAGTTAGATCATGGTGAGAGAGGGTAGCACGGGATTAGAGCGTTACCTTGCAAAAAGCGTGGACTACCTCCTTTGCAGTGAACTTCCTCTCACGAATAGCACCGAGCAAGGAGCGTACATCGTATTGCTCGGTGATATGCAACTCATCTGATGTGAGAAGCCCGCATGTCCGCGGAATGTCCATGACATTGATGGCTTCATATTGGCTCGTGTTCGTGATTGAGTCGGCCGTAGAAAGCAGACCGGGTGGAATCTGCGAGACTTCCAGACGCCACTGATGTGGTATCTGCGCATCGAGTTGAAGCTGCTTGCGGTGAGAAATATACTTGTAAGACATTGCGAAGATTTCATAAGTTGTACTTGATAATTGAAGGTCGAGTTGGAAAAAAAAGAACAGATATGGTGGTTGTCAAGAGAAGGCGGCAGTAGACATGCGGGGAGAATCTGGGGAAAAGAAAAGCCTCGGCCTTCGGTCCGCCCTCCTCGGTTAGCCTTTTGGTATTTACAGTACGGAGTACGGTCAGCCACAATAATAATATGCAAAAGGTGGAATGGCGACCACGTATTATTTTAATTCAGTCTAACTAAAGTGAACAAAATGGTATCTATCGACAGTCACCCCCATCAACTCTTTATCTTCAGATCTAGCACATAACCACCCACCGCTTAAAACCAATTTAGACGCTTCTACTGCCGCTACCATCAGAGCAAGTTACAAAGGACTGAGAAGAGATAAACTCACTCGACTAAACCACTAGATAAATTTAAGAAGAGCACGGCGTCTAGGAAGACGAGAACTCAAATAACGCGATCGTCGAGCAGAAGTTGCTCTCGTTGCCCTCTTGAGGCACCAGCGATTCGCCACTTGCCGAAGTCACCATGTTGGTACTGGCCTTGGTGCTGAGACCATAAATGTGCACATCGGAGCAGTCCACTTCCACCATGTTCTCCTGGCAGGACTCCGTGTCGAGACAGGTCTGCGAATAGTTGTCGAAGAAGCTGTAGAGACCCGCACCGTAAACATAAGTCTCCGAGCTGCTGAGAACACGAAGACCCCAGGCCTTGCGGCATGAGTCGGTGGTGCAGTAGGAGAAATCAGGGTCGTTCCAGGTGGTGTTGGGAGTGAAGGGGGTAAGGGCATTGGGATTCGCCTGGTAATAGGGCGTTTCAGTCTGGATGAGACCCATAAAGACATTCTTGGCGTTGGAGACTTGGTAGTTGTAAAGCTGGTTGTGCTCAGAAGCGGTACCATACAACCATGCGGACTCTTGAGTCTCAAGGAGAACTCCACGGCCATTGTAGATATTGATCTGGTTGTGGTCTGACAAGTCCAGCTCGTGGTCGGCGGTCCAGAACCAGGTGTTCTCAAGGTAAACGCTGGACTGCTCGGTGGCGTGGAAGAGGAGGAAAGCGCCAACACAGTCGGAGTTGGGGGTGGTGGTCTGGTCAGGGGTCTTGGTGCAGGTATTGCTCTGAAGTTCAGTGCCTGCGGATCCACCGATGCGAGCGTGAACATCCCACATACCCGCCGAGCCTTGTGAGTCGGCATTGAGGTTCCACTGAATCAGAATGGCGCCAGGGGCAGGGCCCTTCGTCTCGACAATCAAGTCGCTGATTTCAACGGAGCCGCTCTCGCCAACCTCGCCAACCTGGAGCATGGGGATGGGATTCTCCGCGTCGGAAAACTTGTCACCATACGCCATCAGCATTGGCCAGATTTCACCGGTGATTTTGATATTCTTGGGGACCTTGATGGTATCAGTGATGATGTAGGCACCGTGGTCGAAGTAGACAATCTGATCGTCTGTGCACGAGTCAAGGACCTTTTGGATGGCAGCGGTGTCGTCGGTAGAGCCGTCACCCTTGGCACCGGCGGACTTGACACTGATGAAGGAGGAAGCAGCGTAGTCCTCATACAAGGGCTTGGACTTCTCGAACAGGGAACCGTCACTGTTCAAAAGGGCGCTGGGCTTGGCTGGGGATGCCACAGTGGTCTCGAGGCGAGTCTTGGTGACCGTCTTGTAGGCACAGGTACCAGATCCGGAAGAACCAGAAGCATGAGGAGACGAGGCGGCCGCGGACGTAGCAGCAGCGGCAGATGAGCCTTGAACATGGGTCGTGCTGGCAGAATAGCCGGCAGCAGAGGACTGCTGGGCACTCGAGCCCGCAGATTCACCAACCGGAGAGGATTGCTGCGCGCCAGAGTTTGACTGAGAGCCATATGCAGAAGAGTCACCGGCAGGAGAAGATTGCTGAGCGGCTGATTCGGATGATCCGCCGGCGGGTGAAGACTCCTCGGCATCAGACCCAGACTGGTAGCTAGTCGGCTGTGATGCAGATGTCTCCACAACGGAAGGCGAGTACTGACCGGTGGCAGTGCTCTCAGAGCTACCCCAGGTGCTACCAGTGTGAGGGCGACGGTCAGTGGCAGCAGTGGCCTCGGCACCATTGAGTGTAGCTTCAGTCGCAGCCGTGTGGAAGGCGGAGGCTGCAGATCCGGTCGGGTAATCCGCAGGACAAACCTCGATGGTCGTGGTGATAGTTTCCACAATAACTTCAACAGCAGGCGAGCGCTTCTTGAGCGTGCTGGAGGGCGTGTAGGCGTTACCCTGGACATAGTTGTCGACGACAGAGCCACCCGCCAGAATCGTGCTGCCGGAAACACTGGCCACAGCGACGCTGGAACCAGTGAAGTCAACGTTATCGAGAACAAGAGCGCCACCACCGGTAGGAATACTGTCAGAGCTGAAGGCAGTCACAATACCAATGGGTGTGCCGGTAAATTTGCTATCCAGCATCAAGACGGAGCCAACAGTCTGGTTCGAGGGAGAAGCGGACATGTTTAGACCGACACCGCAGTTGTTGATGGTAACAGACTTGAAGGTCCAGGCCCAGTTCCAGTTCATGTAAATGGCAGTGTTACAATCATTGAAAGTCAGGTTGCGGGTCGTGAACTGCTGGTTACCCAGGAAGGCACCATAGTTACCACCGTTGAAAGTCAAATCAGACATGAAGCCGCCAGATCCATTATCCATGAAAATACCCTGCTGCTTGTTGGCGTCACCTCCTCCCTTGATCATCTCGAACCGGATGTTCTGCAGACTGGTGGCTTGGCCAACTTGCCAATGAATACCGGCACCGGAGGATTGGGGCATGGCGGTGAGGTCAATGACAAAGTTGCGGATGGCACGGAAGAAGTTGTTCTGGTTTGTATACCAATTGGCGCCAGTGTTGGTGTAGGGGTCCGCATCAATCACAGCCATACCAGTGAAGCTGGCAGACGCCTTGAGTACAGGGAGCTGGTTGGCATCGCCAACGAGCTGGGTGTAATAGTACTGCACAATGGGCGTGGATACAACATATGTGCCGGGAGGGAAGTACACAAGAGCCGGGGTTGTAGTCGAGGAATCGCAGCCCTGGCCGCAACGGTTGCCGGAGGAGATCGCCTTGTTGATAGCATCGGTGTCATCAGTGGAACCATCACCTAAGAGTCGCCTGTTAGCGTACGGTCTGCTCATCATCCAGGGCCTCCAACCTACCAGTAGCACCAAAGTCCTTGACATTGCGGAAAATCTGATAGCTCGAGCTGTTACCAAAGGGCACAGTTCCTTGACGTGTGATATCAGCCACCCAGTAGGTCGAGTCGCGAGCCTTCAACTCCCCGCGGGCTTCCAAGCCCCCCTTCATGGGAACAGCAGAGACTAGCCCGGCCGGAAGGCCGAGCAACAGCAGCACGTGGGCTGCGAAGAGCATGACAAATGTGTTCAAAACAGCCATGGTCGAGATTGTAGATGTCTGTCACTGAGCCCGCAGAGACAATGAGGGTGTGAGTAGGACAGTAATATAGCTGGCTGACTGGCAGGCAGGGAAGCGACAAGACAGTTCAGCAACCGGCACTGAACGAAAAACGAAAACAGAGATCGGATGACGAAGCGATATCCGTCACAAGACCCAGTCAGAAGGAGAGGCTTTTCGCAGCTTCCCAAACTGAAAACCGGGGTAAAAAGCAGAAGGAAGAGGGGAATGACCAAAGAGTGGCAGGCCAAGCAGACAGTAAATGGAATGAAGGAAAGGTCAAAAGATAACTCGAATGAATGAATGCGACAACACACAAACAATGCTGTAGCCAAAAACCTGCAGGCACTGAACACAGTATCTCACACCGTGTGACACACACACTGCAGGAGGGAGGAACACAAACGAAGAGAATAGGGAACGAAGGGGAGCAAGAAAAAGAAAGCAAGCCGGCTTGTGAAGAATCACGAGCTGGAAGAGGGACAATCAGTAGATTAAAAGACTGGCTCGACCCCGAGATGGACTGGCGCTGGTTCCGTTCCGGCGCGGGTCCTTCCAGGCACTGATTAAACCTTAGTGGCCTTAGGCAGGCTTTCCACTCTCCACTATTGGCACTAGCAGAATTAGCCAGCACTAACACTGGCAAACTGAATCCACAATCACAGTAGCGCCCGATTACCGCCCTGGCTTGATTGGCCGAGACCGACAGTCTGTGGCAGAAAGCACCGCGGCACCCCCTCAAGCAGCTGATTCTTAGTCTCCAATAAACCTTGACAAAGGCACGCGTGAAACGCCTGGCTCAGGGGTTGAAACAACCGAAGCAAGACTACTCGAGCCAGTCAGTACACTTTCTCTCTCTGATTGGGGCCACCCGGACCACTCCAGAGCCACTCCAGCAGATTGCAGCGGGATGATGACCAGTTCCAGGCCAACCAAGCATCTGACTAGATCCAGTCCTCAGTCAGCACTTACTTAGAACTAAACACCTTTCCCGTCTGATATTCGTCGGCGCACCCGTGCAGAACCTTGGACGTGCAAATGACGGTCGCGAGCGAGCGAATGGAAAGCCGTGACGGACTCTGCTCCCTTCCGAACAGAGATAAACAATTCACACCAGACAAAAGGAGCGAGTGGTGATCTGCAAAATCAGCACACAACAACAGAGCCTCGTTCCAGATTTCCCGGGACGTGTCCTGGGAAAAGCGAACAATGAGGTTCAAGAGAGTGTATGGTAGAAGAAGAAGGAAGGTATTCCCACAGTCCAGAGGTGAGAAAAAAAGACAGACAGAGAGGGAGGGAGGGAGAGAGAGAAGAAAGCAAAGAGCGCGAGTCAGCCGATCAGCGGACTGAATGAGATAAATAACAGGACTGCCCTGGGATCAACATAGCCGCCGTGGCCAGAATTCAGTCGATTATGGCAGATCGACGATTCTGCTTCGCTCTCGTCCCGCGCGTAGGCTGCATGACTGGAATCCTATCAACAACCGGTCCCTAAGAATGGCATGAGATAGAACCCCAATAGGCCAAGGCAGCACCGCGCAAACACACCCTTCCGCTGTCCAGGATGCTGCGTAGCGAGTGACATTCCTCATCGTCCACGGGTCAACCGACGGAGAGGGGGTCTGGGCAGTAATGCTGCTGTAGGTTCCAGACTAAGTGCATTGGCGTTTGATCCAAGGGTCAGAATATTTATCATTCACGTTGACCGATTGTCTGTTTTCGATAGCAATGAGGAAGTTCACCCTCTTGGACACCATAGACGTGCCGCGAAGTGTAGGTTAGATCGACTAACTTACAAGGTAGGTATGGCTCCGAATGGAGGTCTACCACAGGAGGGGGGTCTGGTTCCCATGCATTTTGGTGCCTCAGGCCACCGCCCCACTCTGTTTCCCCCTGGTTTTACAGCGAACAAAGAACAAGGTTCGAAAGGTCAACAACCTCCAGGGGCTGATGCATGCTGCTGCAGAGAAACGCACTCTCGGGGCAACCTACTCTAGACTTAGAAGCAACAGGTGACAAGTTGCCAACGACTGTGATAACAAAATAGAGCCCTTGGGAGACTGCTCCCCATCTTCATCGCCTTCACATCGGCGAGCGTAAATGAATGGGTCCAAATCCAATATCGCAAGTGCCGTCAAGCTTTTGTTTCAGATGGCACACACCCACTGGGTCGCCGATCTACCACTAGACAATAAATAGTCCCGCTAGTTGGCCTTTACCCGAGACATTCTGCTTTTCATTATACACAAGCCATTAGGCCATTAGGTAGCCAGCTCATTAATCTCATTTCTATTCTAGCTGTGCTTGGTACTATGTAATCAATTCAAGATTCAAGTTCACATCGTCAGCCATTCGATTGCCCACAAGAAAGACGACAAACAACAAACAGCCTAGGGCAAGGCACACTGCAGCAAGAATGTGGTGTCTCCGAGAGCCGGACTCTGGCCAAGTCTCCCCTCCCCTCCCCTCCACCCCCTTCGCCAGGGACTCCGAAGAAAGAGAGTTATTTGACGCGTCCTTTCATTCCTTTACACTTCGAGAGGCGCTACTCCCCTTTGTCCAAAAGTACAACCGTATCTACCGTTGTCCGTCTTCGTCACGGAACCATTTTCAGATCTCATGAGCCTGGCTGACTGATGTTCTGTCCCCGCGTTGCATTTCGGCCCGGCCACGAACTACTGTATATATGCAGCATGTCAGCTGCCCCTTCCCCGCGTCGGCTTCACGCTTAATCACCATTCAGTCCCCGTGAACGACAACCAGGCGCCATTTACTACGTTCTATGGCAACCTGATTTTGAAAGCTGACCTTGAATTCGTGTTGGTCACGCCCGCACCTGCGCGATTTAAAATGCTCGATATGGCTCAGTCCGAGAGAGTCGCCCCTCTACTTGGGCAGCTGATGCACCCAGATCGTCCTCAACGTTTCTGCAAGACCTGGCGGATGGCGCACCCGAGTCGGCGCACACCTTCTTCGAGCTGATCCTCATCCTCCCACGCAATACAGAGACGCATCCCACAGTCGAAATCGTTTTTCTCCGTCGCAGGATCGCCCTGCACGCGAAACATGTTCCCTGCCGCCACTTCGACGCCGTGCTCCCGAAGTGCGAGCGAAGCCAGCTCGGTTGCTCGAAGGGGAGTAGGCAGCTGAAGCCAGATGAAGTACCCCCCTGCGGTCCCTCTAGGAGTCGTCGGCGTGACGCCCAGAGGTACTAGGTGTTCATTGATAGCAGCCATCATTCGTTTATATCGAGCTGCATATGCTGGCTGCAGCACGTCCTTGATATGTTTTTGGAGGACCCGCGTGGGAAAAAGTTGCGCGACCATGGAGGCGGAAAACTGGGAGGGCGCTCCCCCTGATCGGCTCGATCCCCTATGGCAACCTCGATGTCAGCTTGTACGAAGCGGGCTTTGAGACTAGAACGGTCACTGGTCACCTACGTCTGCGATAAACCGTAGGCCGTTTTCTCCGTTCCCTCCGCCCATCCAGTGCGCATACCCGCTCCAATCAGCTTACTGAAACTCCCGTTACTGATTACATTACCCCACTCATCAGATGGTCCGCCATCCAAGTATCCGTCTATGTCCACAAGCCGGGGTAATTGAGCGTGTTCTGGCTGTCCCTCCTGTGCAGCTGGTTCTGCGGGCCATTGTAAAAAGTCGTAAACATCGTCGGTTATAATCAAGGCGTCGAACTCACGCGCCAGACGGACCAATCGTTCGCGGTCCGACAGCGACATAGTGAGAGTGGAGGGATTTGAGAAGGTAGGCGTGGCATAGATGACATGCTTGTAGATCTTTCTCCATGGTCGATTTGGTTTGAATTCCTTTGTTAAGTTAGAGTCAGTTAGTTTATGGTCACTACCGCCCACTCCGCGGAGCAGACGCAGACGATATTGAAAGGGCGGTGGAAAAGAAGGTTCTAGCGTACCGGTGTCAGATTCAGCTCACGGGAGGCCTTGAATTCAGCTGATATTAACTCCTCTCGCAGATAGGCCAGATCCAGACCCGCCGCATCCAGAGGCACCGCCCTCAGGCGGCCGGCGAATCCAGCATCATCAAAGATGCGACCTGCAAGGTGATATGTAGGGGCGACCACCCAGATGTTGCGTGTGTAGACCGGATCGGAAAAGACCTGAAGAATACAGGCAAGGTTCTGGCTAGCCCCGCCAGTGATACAGATGCGATCCGGTAAGATGGGACTGCGTGGCTGGTAGAACTCTGTGAGCCAGCGAGCGAGATGCTCACGCAACGGCTGAAAGCCTTCATCAGGGCCGTACTGCAAGGCTGGTTGCCAGATGCTCGGGGAGGCGAGGACCGTGGCGGAGGCCGAGGCCAAGGCGGCGGCGGGCAGCAAGGCGGGGTTGGGCCAGCCGCGAGAAAGATTGATGACAACCATGGATGTCGATGAAATGTCGTCAAAATTCGTGTTTCACAAAGGCTTAGACGTTGATACTTGCTGTAGACAGACGAAAGATGTTTGAGAGGAGGGGTCCATGGAGGGTGGTCGTCACCAGATCTGGTCCCCACCGCCCGCACTTGGCCCGATAAAGCGTGGAGGAACAATGGGCGGCCTTGTAAGCTCGTCCCATGGGACCAGTAATCCATCTTGCGTATGTCGCCATTCCTGGTGATGTTGTCATTGTTGGAGGTTGAAACTCCGCAACCCAACCACCGTCATGAAAATTCGCTGCTCATGATGATGAGAGAGTTCGAGTCAGGTTGACAGTTTGACAGGCTTGCCCCTCCTCCAGAGAGGGGTCGGGTTGCCAAGCTTACCAACCCCCTCGCCCTGGCAGTGGCAGCTCCGTTAGAGGGGCATCGGAGATGGACGGAGATGGACGGAAGGACAGACTAACTTAAGTTCAAGCCATTGCAGGGCCGATAGCGGGACGGCAAATTTGCATTGTACATACAGTACCTGAAATCCCGATGACTGCCAGACGGATCCATATGTCAGTAGCTGGATAACAGGGTAGAACAGTACACAAGATTGGAGATTGGTACTCCGTACCGACAGTACTCTGTGAATCCGTGGAGACCGACTGCCTCTCAAGCTGATTAGGTAATCCCGCGCCCGAGTCGAGATTTCTTTGCTATTAATCGCTGGTACGGAGTACGTATTGTTGCTTCGTGGTTCTTGGTGTAAGGCCCCACAGCAAGCGATCAACGCTCAAAAGACCAGCCACGCGTAGCATACTACGTACTCATGGTTTAAGTCATGTGTAGTCATATACCTTGAGGTCTCCAACTGATCATGCAATGTGCCTAGGTAACTGAGTGAATGATAGAAATCGCTCCAGCGCAAGTATGGTATAGTTGACCAAATCGGACGAAGAAGGAAGAGGACCCCTTACTAGCGCATACACACCTTCGGTACTCGGTACCGTGCCTGGTACAGTACTAACGTACGTACGTTGTCTAAGTTAGTCTCCAAGTCTAATCCATGCGTGATTCCGATCTATTCTTAGTCCGCCGCCGCCGCCAGCGGGGGGCACTGCACCTTGCCCGGTCTGCCCTGGAAAAAAACACACGCTTTAGTTTTTCGGGGTTTATGCCTATGCAGCACCCAATGGGAATGGATGGCGGACGCATTACCAGATGATCAATTTATCCATTGGCAAGGATGCCATAGTGAGCCATTAACTTACTTTGTACTCCGTACCTACGACCTCTTTGGAGCCCTTCCTCTCCTCCACCATCCGAAAAGGAAACCCCGTTCTATGGCCGGGCTCAATCAAGTCACTGGCCGGCCGGGGAAGATAGAGTTGGTCTCTCCGCTGGAATTTAGGCATGACGTGCCCACAGCAGGCGTAAATATGCAGTGCAGTCTTCCTTACGAGCTTTTATCTACATACTATGTAGTAGTTATCCTGCTACCCCCTTGTTTACCAGGTCTTGACATCCCCTTTTCACCATGGGACATGGTGGTTATTATACTCAGGGGGCAAGGAGGGGCCATATTTCGTATTGTGGTAACCTATCCAGTGCTTCAAGTATATACTAGTCAATAGAACCTCAAAAGCAAAGGCAAGGTGGCTGGTGTAACTGCGATCGGGAGGACACTGAAGGTCGTGAGTGGGGTTGAATGGTGCTGGCGCATCATTCCGAATGTCCGACATGCGATCAGGGATGGAGAGAACTTGGACATTGATTTCTCAGGGGACTGGAGATCGAGAATAATGCCTTGGAAAGATGGAAGTCATGATCGCATGGTGAGCCCAACCACCTGGCGGAGCGTTAACTTACCAGAAATTCTTCTGCCTACTGTTGTATGTACAGTACTATGTAAGTTATACGGATTAACGATCCGACTTCGCAATACGTGGAAATCTACCACCACGCCTGCCGACACAAGTGTTAGGTCTTCCGTGTAAGATATCCTTTTCTTTCTTTTTTTTCTTGTTAAATCTACTTGCACGGCCAGGGCGCTCTCCTGAGGCTCTCCTGAGGCTCCCCTGACTAGCCAAGGAGGAGTCAGCAGGAGGCCATCAGCCTCCTGAACCAGATTGACACTGCCTCATCGCAGCCCTCGCAGTCCACTTTTGCCGCAGACAGGCATGGCGCAATCAGATTCGATACAGGATGATCCATCAGGAACGACAGAAATTTCTTGGGTGCTGGTGCAAATTAGCCAACTGCACTTAGTCTGATTCCGATATCCGATGGTCCGGCCAACCGAGATCAAGTACTGTACAACAAATAGTATCCATGTTACAAGAAGTGGAAAGGAGATTAGGTAGGCAATCATGAACGGGGGGAAAGGAGAAAAGGGCAAGAGGGCAAAAGGGCAAAAGGGCAAAAGGGCAAAAGGGCAAAAGGGCAAAAGGGCAAAAGGGCAAAAGGGCAAAATGCTAAGAGAAGACTAAATGGGGAGTGTCTCCACTAAAAGGAATCCATTAGAAGTTCAAGAAGGTCAAGAAGAAGCAGGAGGTGGGAATATCCGGGGCCGAAAGGGCAATTCACAAAACATTAGTTACTCTTCGGAATTAGAAAATGAAAATTATGAGATCCTCGTCGTCAGCACCTTTTTACGAGGCATCAAGATGTAGCTGCAGGGTAAGGTTTAACAATCACTTTTTCATTCTGTTTTCTTTTTTTGTATTTTTTTTTCTTTCTTCCATTCTTTCTTTCTTACTGCGTGTCTCCAACACGAACAGGCGAACCATGATGGGATCGATGGAGGATCTTACCGCCTGGGCCAATACAGTAATAAATCTAATCAATGCAAAGTACGGAGTACGGAGCACAAGTATATCACTGTGGCTGCGGATAACTCTGAATAAGAATAGACAGACAGAAGGACAGGCAGACAGACAAACAGACAGACAAACCTCACGTCTTTCCTAATCAATATAAGACTGCATCTGTTTCTTGTTGCTTCATGATATGATTAGATCGCCTGCGACAAAAGTCTATAGAGTCTCTGACGGTGCAATCCATGGGTGCCAAAGTCTTGTTGTCAGTTTTGATGCGAATTGAATTCCTCGCCGACCGTCGGCTCCACCGGAAAGGTTAAAAATACTCCAGGACAGTGCATTATTACCTGCGTGATACCTCCACTATAAGCATCAATACGACCATCGCGCAGCTTCCCCCACTACCAAATCAGGTATTCGCAATACCGTCCTGGTTTCTGTCACTTGTCGCTCTTTGACCCTCAATTATTATTATTATTTTTTTCCCTCTCGCTCTCTCTCCATATTCTTCCACATCATCTCTTCCTCTTCTCTTTCTTCCCCCAAAGCTTACAGAAGAGGAGTGAAAGAGAGACTGTGTGTGTGTGTCCGTGAATGTGTTCGTCTATACAACATCCCCTATAATCCATCCTCATCATCTATCTCAACCCTCCGTCTCCCCGCCTCCATCCTCTCCTCCTTCTCCTTCTCATCTTCCTAATATACTCTCACTCACTGACACCTATAACCCCCTCCCTCTCTTTCTCTTTTCTTCTGTACCACGTACCAAACCTTCCTCTTGACAATCTCCGTCTCCTTCTCTCCCTCCCACTTCCTCCCCACCCCAAAAATCGAAAGCTGTATCCATTCCTCCTCTACTGGATCCCTCCTGTCGATCCATTCCTCAGGGCACGTCGAAGCAGTTCGCACGAATTGCCTGCCCTTTCTTCGACAAACCCTCTCGAATTCCTTGACTAAACTTGTCCCTGGACCGCCTGGGAGAGTTTGCGCATGGTTGGTTACATTCTTTCTTACTTCACTGATTAAACTGGTTAAGGTACGCCGGTCCCTGCCTGCCTTTCGCGAACCCGTGGTCTCCTCCGTCAGTGGAGGGGAGAAGTTTCCTGTCACCCACTTGCACCCTCTGGCTCCCCCCAAATCTTACTCTCACACTTCCTCACTCCCCTCCCTCTTCATTCTCATTGTCCATTCTCGCTATTCATGTCTTTTGCCTTCCCCACTCACCCGTTCGACCATCGCTACGCCTTTTCTCTCGTTCTCCGGGGCTGACGGTTGCTTCTCTTCTTTTTTTTACGCAGCGACTCCGAACATGCTGTCCGCTCCGGTAAAATCGGCCAAGCGCATATCGTCGCTGTTTTCCTTGGGTTCGACCAGGGATAGTTCGGCACCTTCCTCACCTGCGTCTCCGAGTATCCCGAAAGCGTCCCCCGACCAGTTACCGCAGGATGCACGTCCTCGCAGCGCCTCCCGATCAGCTCGTGTAGCCTCTAATCCTCAAAGCGACTACGGCGAGACCCGCCCGCCTCTCCCCCCCGGTCCCCACGATGGTTTTGATTTGGACGAACCCTTGCCGCCGCCTCCATCCCTACTGTCCGTCAACCAGGATCTGGCCACCAGCACCCCCGGCTCCTCCGACAGACCCCAGAGTAGCGGTCGCGGGCGTAGTGGGAGTCGACCGTCCAGCTCTGCGGGATTGTTTGTGCCAGGCGCCGGTCCGGATTCGCGCCCGAGCACCCCATCTTCTAAACGGCGTAGCTGGATGCCCGGGCGGGCTCGTGCAAGCTCAGCTGATCCGCGCGCCAGCGCCTCAGCCATGCCCAGTGCTTGGATTGCTGGCCTAGAGCAGAAGATCTTGTATGATTTGGAACCTCTGTCTCGAGGAGAACAGGTATGTGTGTACCGATGGGCCCAGGACGCGGGACTCGCTCGTGCATGGCTAGCCCGCTCGTTAGCGTTTACTAAAACCAACGTTGGAAACACGCTAGATCCCCGAGCTGTGGAACGAAAATGGCGACACCTACGTATATCTGTTCCCCCAGAACGCCGGCCGACAGGCCTCCTTTAAGGTCCATTCGACGGTCTTTGCGGAATCTCCCTCCCTCCATTTCCTTGCTCGCGGAAACGAGCTTCGCAGTCCCACATCCCTTGAGCAACAAACAGGCAATCTGTCTTTGAATAGCCCCGTGGCCGGCCCCGCGTCACCGCCTTTGACACCTCAAGATCGCTTGGCCGACAACGACAATGATAGCTCTGGTAGCCAACGGCTGGCCTACATGGATGATGAGAGTCCCGAAGAGTTCCAGGAGCTTCATCTCTACCTCCCCATTCCCCTGAACAGCGACGTTTCCAACCCCAATACTCGACTCACCGGGGAGGACTTAGAAAATCTTCTTTTGTTCCGTAACCTTTTTGCTTTCCTGCTGGGACAGTCCTTGATTGCAACGCCTCGATCTCCATCCCTCTTTTCCATCTTTATGGACGTTGCAACGCTACTTTCTCGATTTGAATTCACCAACTTCGATGGCTCCAATTTTGGCGAGACTGCGACGACCAGCTTCGGCAACTACTGTGAGGAACTGCGACTGGCAGATGTGCGCAAGAGCCGCGAGAAAACCATTGAAGCCATCGTTCTGGGTGAACGGTTGCGTTTTTACCCTCTCTACCTCGAGGGGTTCGTGCACGGGGTTGGCAAGCTGGACGAACTGAAGCAACTGAGAAGTCCCAAGTACGGACTTATCAATCCCGTCACCCAGAAACGCTTAGAGCGAGGTTTCATCGATCTAGACACCCGTCTCCGGGTATTGTACAGTAAGCTGGACGATTTCGACTTCCCTTCCGTCTTCTCTGGTATTGCCAATTCGGCTACGTCGGTCGAGAGTAAGGTGGTGCGGTTCAAGAACTGGAAAATGGCGTTCATGGATTTTCGACGCTTCACGATGCAGTACTATCGCCAGAAGTACGGATCCTGGCCTCCCAAAGCTCGCTCGAAGAAGAATCAGTTCGAGGAGAGTGGGCTCAATCGTCAGGTTGTTAAGGATCTCTACAATGATTTCGCCAACCTTTACGATATGATGGTCGACCGGGCCGCCCTCACCACCCGCACGGTGGACATGGCAGCGGAAACATCAGAGACCTCCGACCCTGATGAATTAATGGTACGGGCTCTCCGACAGGTTCTGAGCGAGTATGATCGAAGCACTCCTCCAGTCCAGCCTCCTATTCCGTTCGATATTCCACAGTTCCCCTCGCTGCAGACGCTCGAGCGGAAACCAATGGACGCAAAGAAGGAAGCCAAGAAGCGAGCGAAGAAATTGAAGGATGCTGACATCAATGCCGTTCTGATGGGCTCATACACCCGCGAGAGTCTGCGGCCCACTCCTTTCATCGAATCGTTCATGCAATTTGAGCGCCGCTCGGCGCATGGCAAGAACATTAATGACATGATTGACATGCGTTGCGGTCAGTGGATTTTCTTGTACTGTGTCATTCAATCCCTGCCTTTGGTGGTGGTCGATGTGCAAGATGTCCGATACACGGATGCTGTCGAGTACTTCCTTTGCATTGCGCCCCGCGGTGGTGCACCCTGGATACAGAACGACGGTAAGACTGCACGCAGTTGGTTTGGCGTGGCCAATGGCGCTGGTGTGGTTAGCCTGCCCTCCGATGTGGTTATCAACGGTGTGGAAGGCATTTACCGCCGCAGTCACTGCTGGCAGGTGGCGGAGCAATGGGCGGAGAAGGATGCTATTCTAGCGCCTCCGACGATCGAGGACCCATACGACAACGAGTCCTCGTTGTCTTCACCGTACCAAGCCCAGCAATCATCGGCAGGCTCATCGTCTGAGCAACAACAGCTCTCGGGCGGGCAGCCAACTCCCCTCATGACCCCCGGCAGTCTTGGTCCTCCTCCACCTGCAATCCCTCGGCTCAACTCCCCAGTCTTGAACCGGAGAGCAGAGCACCGCACTTCAATTTATCCGGGTCTAGAGGCATTGCCACTCCCTGCGGGTGTAGCCCCGCTGGATCCCCCGGCTCGACCCGTCAGTCGATTCAACCCCAACATGAGCTTCGACGACATTCTGAAGCAGGTCCCGAATCAGCAGAAGAAGAAATAAGCCTTGGGCAAAAGAACGCGATAGAAGAATTCAAGGTTCTCTTTTTAGATGTGTATAATGTTGGAGAGAAGACTGCAGCTTGAAAAGGTCCCTTTAGGGACATTCTCCCCCCCTCGGTGTTCCAACCATTTCCCTTCAACTCCTTGCATTACTAACCCTGGTCGCTTCAGCTCTCTTGTATCCGGTCATATTCAGTTCCCTTTCCTATTGTCATTCTGTCCATTTTCTTTTACCTCTCATACTGGGCGTGATACATTATCTTGAACCAAAAGGCTGGAACGGCGTAAACGAGCATCTATCTGAAGTTTTTTCGGGTCGGGTAGCGACAGTCAAGAACCAGAAGATTGTTTTAACATTTCCTTTATCTCTTTCTGTGTGGATTGGAGCACAGCATGCGGTTGGTCAATGGCATTGGAATCATGAATCTTGCCTCTTGGAATCTCGTCCTCCTTGTCTTCCTCTCTTCTTTTACTGTGTCCAATCCGACTTTCCCTGAGCATTTCCACTTGTCTCTTCTACTCACCTTCCACTCTCTACTATACTTCTTTTGTCGGTTCTCCTTGGAGGGGGGTTGGACTCCTGCGAATGTCGTTGCTCCGTGACTGGCCGTGTCAGACAGCCTGATTTGATGTGATTTACACTTTTCCGACGCATCATTGATAGAGATAATAGGTCCTTGAAAACAGGACTAGTCTTAATGTAATGCACCCTTCTATGGGGTAAAAGATGATCAGATCATGGGTAATCTGTTGTGTTTGTGTGCAGAGCTAGCTAGCCTTTTGACGGCAATCCTGGTAATACGGATTCACCGGCCCTAACCTTTACTGTCAATAACTGCACTATTAGCATGGAGAATCAATTAGTATAGTAGTTTATCTATCATTGTCTTTCACTGAAGCTTTGCTATCAGGTTGAGGTGGCGGTTGAGGATTTCGAGGACACTGGCGCCGGGAAGGGGGAGATTTCCGTAAAGAATATATTTCTCATAATCCGATTATCCTACCACATATCACGCAGAACAACTTGGTCAACCTTCAACCTACTGTTAGCATCGGTCATCTCGACAGCGTGTGCTACATTCATCGTCATCAACTACCCACGCCTAAGCATCACCCTGCCAAACCCTTATAATTGTTCCCATGAAAGAACTACCGCCGCATGGACAAGTCAAGTTGGTCCACAATGGCCAGCAACGTGACATTGTCTAGACCGGGTGATGCACAACCCTCCACCAAATTTGCCTGCCTAGCAGTCTAGCTCTGCGGTACCGCTGCAAGAGTCGCAAGCTTGAATCGTGAGAGACTTACAAATATTCGGGCCTTTGTAGGAGAGCTGCATTGACATGGCATGGTTGTACTCGCTTATTCAGCAGACAGTGCGCACTAGTTAACGTTAGCTGGTCGGAGTCCTGTCCCGCTAAATAACCTTCAGGTACCCGATTCATACTTCATTCATTCAACGTACCCACGACTAACTTAGCTTATATGATGTTCTACTCAGTATGTCGGTCGGCTTTGATTGAATTTGAACTTGAACTTGAACTTCAGGATTTCAATTGAGCTTTCCAGTCCTACCGATAGCTGCCCGCGTCGATGAATAACGCCATGTCAATCAAGACGATACTCACACGCTGGATGCTCAAAGAACAGTGCCTGCGACCCGGAAGGAAATATCATAGCCTTGGACTCAGTCCTCCTTAAACCTCTGGTCATCCTGTCTCGAACTCACTATCATTTGCTCGAACGACTATTCGCCGACCGAGAGATTTCGCAGTGACTAACTTAGTCTACATGCACTAGCCGGGGGGGCTGGACGTGAGCCCTGAATTCTGCTCAGTAGTAGACCAATCCCCAGCCGCAGTGGAGAATACTGCGAGCAGACTCCCGACATGCAGCTAATTTCGTATTGCTTATGCTTTTAGCCAGTGACCGTTTGGCGTGGCGCACCCATCATTCGACACTATTTCGCCCCGGCTGACTGGCGCGGCTCTGCCCTTCAGCTCTTATTTTTCTTGACGGCCCCAAGTTTTCCTTGAAACCTAAAATCCCCAGGAATATGTGGTGGTCCACCGTCAAGCCTTGGGACCGAAGTCTCCGTTCCTGAATCAGCGTTCAGCACAGACAAAAACCATGTCTAGGTCACGATCGAGTATTGCAAGTGACAGCCATGACCGTTTGGAGCCCCGCTTGCTGAGAGCGGTCGAGAGCGACCAGTTTGCCACCCTGCAGGCCATCGTTGAATTGGCTCGCGACAATGGACAACTCAACGATACCTTTCTGCGCATCGGGCTCATGCGCAGCTGCGAGCGCGGGTCCATCGCTGCGACCGAATACCTCCTTCAGATCGGTGCAAAGACGGACGTTGCCAGTAATCGGCCCTCACCGCTATTGCGCGCCGTGGAGCGGAATCACGTTCGCATCGTGCAGCTCCTCCTCGACCATGGCGCATCGACGGAAACCCCAGACAAAAAGGGCCGGACCGTACTGATGACGGCCGCCTGGAAGAACCATTGGCATGTTCTGCAGCTGTTAATTGCCCGCGGCGCTGATGTCAATGCTCGGGATCATAAGAAAAGGAACGTTCTGCATAATCTGGCGGCGGACAAGCAGTGCGACTGGGGAGAGGATGTCATTGAGCTCCTCCTCAGCACAACCTGTACACTCGACGGCCTGGCTGGCCAGGATGAACTCGGCCGCACGCCTCTGCATTGGGCGTGCGCCACGGGGAAACTACGCTTCGCGCAGCTGCTTCTGACCCGACCGCATGGGCCGGTCGCAGACGTAAATGCTGTCGAGTGTCGGAACAAGACCGCGCTCCATATTGCGGTCGCTCATGGTCGTGATGACATTGTCCAGCTCTTGCTGGCATACGACGCGGACGTGAACGCGCGAAGTGACGGTGGCTGGACCCCGCTGCATAATGCCTGCGACAGAGGCTCTGAGCTGATTGTGCGTATCCTTCTACGCGCTGGAGCCAACATCAATAGCCAACTGCTCAACGGGGTGACGCCTTTGCACCTGGCTGCACAAGCTGGTCACCGCGAGGTAGTAGAGTGCCTGCTGGAGCAGAAGGGGTTAAAACAGAGAATCCGGGACAACTTTGGCAGCACACCATTCCTGCGGGCAGCCCAATTCAAGCGGAGAGACATAGTATCTCTCCTTGCCCCGTTCAACACCGTCGAGGCTCTGTCTGCGGAGGCGAAAGGCGCGTGTGAAGCATTTGAGGCTACCGTGGTCGATTTCGGTAACTTCCACAACGAAAATCGGGTCAAGAAGACGTCGGTCTTCAATCTTCTCTACGGTCGCGATCCCGAGAACCCACGCAAACAGGCATTTAGCACCCTGCCGGCGGATAGTCGGGCGACTGACTTTCGTTGGATTCATCTTCCGGCGAATAATTTGACATGGGTTGAGGCTCTTCTTACCAAGTCATTCATTGAAGAAGGGGCGCACGATGTGGAGAGCTTCAAGGGGCTGGAGAAATCCTTCCGCTACCAACATCGAGGACAACGGACGCACTCGCACTTTATGCGTCCTCTGTGCCAGAGCACTCCTCGTGCGCCACGGTTTCAGGAGGACGACAGTTCCGAGGAGAAGACGGTTGAACTGCCCCCTCAAATTCTCATCAACGGACAGACTCATGAGGCCCCGAGCACTCCGAAAGAAGGTAACATGCCTAGAGGCCGTAAATTGAGAGAGCACGGAAGCAAGACTGAACCTACCGACTCAATTTCTGACAACCCGGCGAAGAAGGGGAAGGGTGCGACCAAGCGTGGCAAGGCCGGGGGAGCACAGTATAAGCATGAGTCTAAACACAACCACGGTACCGATCGGAACGATAAGAATCGGCCTGTTCTTTCTCTGTGCAAAGACTCAGCACGCTCCAACGCGTGCAATGTGTGCATGTTCATGCCGTATCTCCATTTCGAAACGACCGAGAGACGTCAGAAGATGCAAGATGCCATCCAGCGAGCTGAGACGCGGTGTCTCGCGCGGCCCAGCCTCACTCGGACACCTACGCGGGATGAGCTCTTGATCAGCGCGCATTTAGCATCGTCGACCACGTCGCTTCACATCCGACGCACGCTGGATCAGTTCTTCTACCCCAACATCGACACGCTGACACGAGACCAAGACCAGGTCGTCTACCGGTACCAGACCAAAGGCCAGGGCCGGGAGCGGTTCCTGTCGGAACCCAAGATCTTCATGGTCGATCAACTTTGGATGTGGATCCTTGGAACCGGGTTGATCGTGACCAGCTTCCCCGAGCGGTGGGAGCAGCCCAAGAACGACCCGCTCAACGTCCTCGACGGGATCATCGAAGACATCAACTCCAAGACCAGGGAGCCCGTCAAGTCCGTCTACGATCTGGCCATCATCATCACCACCCGCTGCTCGGGGGTGTTTGACCGGCATCGCATGGGCGACGAAGAGTACCAGTTTTTGGACATGTTCGAGGCGTCAATCGGTGTTGCCACAGACCGCGAGACGGTCCTCTTCAACCAGTTCAACCGGGACTCCGCACAGGCGTCCGACTGGCTCAAGAACCACCGCAAGCTCAGCCGGTTTGCTCGGCCGCCGCCGCCGCCCAGCAAGGATCGTGACGCGGCTACCGCTGGAGAGCGCCGCGGTAACAACCCCACCGATGCCGCACGCGATGAGTACTGCGAAGCCGAGACGGAGGACGAGCACGAAGAAGACGAACAGCCCCTGTTCGTGGACAACCTCCTAGACATCGGCCAGGAGACGGATCTCCTCTCCGAGGCCAAGGACATCCGCGACGAGCTCAACATGATCCGCACGGTGCTGCAGCACCAGCAGCACGTGCTGCTGGACTTCCAGGAGGCGATCTGCGAGATCTACACGGGCCAGCACCGGTCGCAGTCCGAGATCAAGAAGCGGTTCAAGGAGCAGCAGCGCACGATCGACATGCACCTGAAGGACATCGACCGCATGGACAAACAGGCCGAGCGCATCTACTCCTCCATCACGGACCTGCTCGACCTCAAGCAGAAACACGCCAACGCCTTCGAGGCCCGCTTCGCCCGCGACCAGGCCGCCGGCACCACCCGCCAGGGCAAGATCATGATGGTCTTCACCATCGTCACCATCGTCTTCCTGCCCTTGTCCTTCATCACCTCCATCTTCACCATCAACCTGGCCGAATTCGGCGGAGCGTCCAGCACTGGCGGCGGCGGCAGCGACAGCACCGGCCAGCTGCATCTCTCCTACGTGGCCAAGTATACCTTCGGGATTGGCTTCGCCATCTCCATCCCGCTGATCATCCTGGCGCTCCTGCTGGATGATATCGGCGACGCGTGTCAGGAGGGGATCCGGCGGTCGCGGCGGTGGATGGCGCTGCAACGCGGGAGGAAGAGGGGTCGTTTGCGCGGTGGCGGGGGTGCTGCTGTTGCAGTACCAGGAAAGCCCATGAGAGACGAACAAGATGGCATCCGCCCGACGGGGTACGAGCTCGAGAAGATCCTGAGTGGGAACCGGTCGATACGGAAGAGTCTCGATACGGACTTCGCGGGGAGTCTGTTGCCCATCTCCACGCGGGGCACCGCACGGAGGAGCTGATCTCGTGGATTGGCTTGGCTTGGCTTTTATGACAATGATGATGATGAGACATGATCATGAACGACAATTGTGTATAATGGGAGTTTTCTGGGTTGTGCCTTACTCAAAAGTGGCTTTCATTTTTGGGAATTTGTGTTAGAGTGTTTTTGGCGATTATTTGTCCTGGGCTATAGATGATGCTCCTTGCTGAATGAATAAGTTGAGTTTGGATTGTGGTCAAATTCTATATTAAGCTATTTTTATGAGGAAGATGTAATAGGCACCACATATACAGTATACCACCAGCGATGCCTGGTGTAGCATCGTACCAATCCACCGATCCCCCTACCCTATCAATGAGACGTGCTTCGTCAAAGGTGTTTATTCAGATCCGATCACCGCTGTAACGGTACCAAGCCTAAAGCTCCTTCTTCAAGAAATGCTCCGGCTTGTGCGTGGTCTCGTAGTCCACGTGGACGTAGGCGCGCTCCACGTCCGGCAGGGACTCGAGTTTGGTCTGCAGCTCCTCCGCGACGTCGTGGGTGGCGCGCAGGGAGTCGTCGGGGTCCATGACGATGTCGACCTCGACGACCAAGCGGGGGCCGGAGGTGTAGGCGCGGACGGTGTCGATGGCGGTGATGAGGGGGGAGTGGGTCATTGCTTTGGCGGGGATTGGTTAGAACCGACACCAGAGAGAGATACTGACTACTGGGACGCAGTTCCCGATCCAACAAGACAGGGGAAGACAGAGAAACTCACAGATATAAGTGATCAGCTGCTGCATCTTGGTATCAGCCGTGACGCCGATCAAGAGCTGGAACTCATGGTAGGCGGTATGCAGCCACAGCGCGGCCACGAGCACGGACAGCAGGATCGCGCCGGCGGGATCGATCCACCAGCGCAGCTTACTGCCGCCGACGGAAGTCAGGATCCCGAAGCCGTTGATGAACAGGTCGTTGCGGTGGTCCTCCCACAGGATGCGGACCTGCGAGTACTGGTCCTTGAGGGCGAAGCAGTACAGGAAGAGGGCGAACTTGGTGCAGAAGGCGACGATGACGGCGACGACGGACGGCAGGTGGAAGGAGCCGGTCTCGCTCTCGGAGCCCTCGGCGAGCTCGCGCACGGAGAAGGCGATGAGGATGAAGGAGACGGCCGACATGAGGAAGCAGAAGCAGATGTTGCCGGCGGTCTCGATGCGGGCCTTGCCGGCGGGGAACTTGCGGGCGTCGACGCGGTTGACGGCCTTGTTCGACAGCAGCAGGGTCAGGTTGGACATCGGGTCGAAGATCGCGTCCGCCATCGTCGTGAACAGCGAGAGCGACGCCGACGAGATCGCCCCGTACAGCTGCAGCACGCACAGGATCACGTTCGCCGCGAAGCTGCCGTACACCGCGATCTTGTATTTCAGCTGGTTGCTGCTGTTCGTCTCGCGCGCGTCCCGCACGTGCTCCTCCACCGGCTTGAGCATGCGCTCGATGTTCTCGTTCTGCGTCTGGTAGAACCCCTGCAGTTGGCGGGAGGCCAGCGCGCGCTGGACGCCGCCGCCGCCGCCGCCGCCGCCGCCAAGGCTGGCCGAGGGGAGGCAGGAGGTCCGCTGCTGGACGGAATCGCGCTTGCGGGCCATGTTGGCTTGCGGTTGGATCTGATCGATCTCCTCCGGGGTTTTCAGTTTGGAGGCCAGTTGGAACGGGTCGTTCTCCAGCGTGTAGCGCGGGGGCGGCTGGCTTTCCTCGTCGCTGCCGATACTGATGCGGCGGTGCGGCGCGGATGGCTCCAGGGCGGTGGTCGTGGCGGCATTGTAGGCGATTGAGGTATCGTGAGAGATGTGGGAGTGAGGAGGGAGATGCGTGAGGGGCACCGAGGCGCCGTGTCGATGCGTTTCCTCCATTTTCTTCGGTGGTTGTGGTTGGGGTCAAGGGGGTTGCAGGAGAGGAGGAGGAGGAGGAGGAGGAGGAGGAGGAGGAGGAGAAAGTTATCAATCGGCTTGATCTTCTTATCAGACATGGGCACTTGGCCTATTCGGGCTAGTGGATACAGACCCTGAGTCAGCTGTCAGGGGCAGTGCATCTTCCCCTTTGGGAAGTGTAGGTGAATTAGTACTAGGTAGTTAGTACCTAGTAGGTATCCATGATCCATCTTCCTGACCACTTGACTCCATGACATGTATCTGCTCTACAATTAACTAGGCATGCAGTACTAAGGCCGGTATCAGTTCAACTTAGATTCATAATATCACAAGCTGAGTACAGAAAAGTCAATCTCCCGAGTCAACACAAATTTTAAGATTTTTGGAGAGGCATTCCAGTTTTCATCCATATCCCGAATAACAAGGCAATTTCACGAAATCACACAACAGCGGTGTAGAAAACAATCTGAGGGATTGAGGTTCAACGCAACGCAAAAGCTTTCCACTCAAGCTTACCGCCGCGAAGAGTTCCATCTCGAAGCAAGCAAACCGAACCCACCACCAGCCTCATCAGCAACAGCAACAACAACAACGACGGCAGAGGAACCCAGCGGACTCGTAACTTGAACACCCTACTCCAAATCCGAATCCGGCACTTTCTCCTCCTCCATCGGCATGTAGCGCGCAACGAAGTCCCCGGGCAGTCCAGTGAGCGGATCAGTTCTGCGGACGGCCAAGAGCGCCTCGGCCAGATCCTCGATGTACTCGCGTGGGACGTCGGCCTTGGTGCTCTGGAAGTCCGCCAGTCCCGAGCGCCACGCATTGACCTCGACCACCATCTTGCGCATGTGCGAATCCCGGTCAAACATGGTGTAGACGAGCCTGATGACGGCGACCCCGAAGAGGCCGCGGTGGCTCCCCAGCCAGCGCTGCAAGTACGCCAACAGGTCAGACTGCAGCAGGAAGCACTGGAACCTCTCTGAGAAGCGCCAGATGCTGAAGAAGGGCGTGAGATTGGGCAGGGAGTGACCGCCGAAAGGATCGCCGTTGCCCATCCATTTGAGGAAGGCAGTGAAGGTGGTGGGGCAGAGGTCGGGGAAGCGGATAATGGGGGGCTTGTGCTGCTCGCCGCGCTCGGCGCACTCGACCATGCAGAATCTATGGAAGTTGGGACTGCGGACGAGGAGGGTGTCGACGTCCACGTGGAAGATTAAAGGGGGCGAGCCAACGTGGAAGATCGCGATGTTGCAACGGTTGTATTGCTCGGCCCAAGACGGGAACAAATGGTAGAAACTTTGGGGAAGAGGATGCCCTTGGTTGGCTCCAAATCCACCGGCCTGGTTGATACCTGGCTGGGTGGCACCCGCTGGGTTGCCATTCGCCTGGTGGGCATTCGTGTGGCTAGCATTCGCGTGGTTGCCATTCGCGTGGTTAGCATTCGCCTGGTTGACATTCGCCTGGTTAGCATTCGCCTGGGCGGCACTCGCTGGGTTGACAGTCGCCCGGCTGGCATTCGCATGATTGCCATTCGCCTGGTTGGTACGGGCCTGGTTGGCACTCGCCTGGTTAACACCGGCCGGATTAACACCAGCTTGACTAACACCAGCCGGACTAACCCGGGCCTGATTAACACCAGCCTGCTGTCTACCGCCGCCCGCCTGGCTAGTAGCACCAGCCCCAGTATCAGCAACACGCTGACCGCTCATGTTCGCGCGGCCGCTGGACGCTGCACCGCTCGCGTTGGCCGGAGTGTTGGGACGGGCTCTCTTCGGGGCACTGGAACGCGTCACGTATCAGAGAGAGTGCAGTTACCAAAGAATTCAATGGCTCACTTACGGTGTATGGTCAGGGCTGGTCTGCTGGCTCGCATCGCGCCGAGAAGCAAGAGGTCGGGGACGGAGTGAAGAGTGTCGGGGGGGTGGATTGCCCTGAGGGAGCTGGGCTGGCTGCTGGGGTGTAGTCATCCTGCTTGGTGGGTTTAGTTATGGTGTTGAACTGTTGAACTGAGAAGATCAAGCCAGTGAGGGGTGTCGGCTTACTTGTTTTCCTGAGATGTGATTTCTTTTTCGACAAAGTAATTGAGGTCTTGGTTGTGTGTTTTGGGTTCTTGTAATACGTCTTGAGAGACAGATTGAGGTCTTGTCTGTAAGCTTGGAAGATTGACCAAAATGTCAAGATGTCAACTCAACGAACGAATCAAGATTGTGAGTGTAAAGCCTTCAAAGACACGAAGTATCTGTACCAGAGTACCAACACAAGATCCCTCAACGAACAGCCGTAGCCAACGAGCTGAAGAACGGGGAGAAAGAGGGAGGATGAACGAGAGGAAGAAGGGGAGGAAAGATAAACAAGAGAGAGACAGAGAGAGAGAGAGAGATGAAATAAGTATCCAAGCAAGGAACAGAATGAGTCAGTATTTCAGATCATTCACACTTCAGAGGTCTACATTCACACGAGCTCACACAGATCCACATAGAATGTAAGTATGTCGAAGCTCGCAAGTGAATGTCTGCGGCGGGGAGAGGTGGGGGAGGCGGGGGGAAGGTATTGATATTCACCTGGCACGTACACGCAGACTCATTCACAGAGCACCCCTGGGCGTACGGACAGCCAGGACCTGGGTCTCCATACTGTACATCTCTCTATACTCATGGTAGGACAGTATGTCTTTTTCAGAACCATTTGCAGTGGCCAGAGAGAATTGTCCAATCTAAGAAAGAGGCTTCAAGCGACTCCCGACTTGCTTGCTTGCAAGACCAGTGAGATGGGCTTGGGTCAAAGGCTCAAGAGGCCTGGGCACACAACCTGGAATCCGACTTGATGACCGCTAGGCTAGTCCTATAACACTAAGTCATCAAAATCAATCGGTACTTGCAGTGGATGAAAGCTATATGCTACTTATCAGAGCTACTTCAAGACTGTCTTGAGAAGATGAATAGAATTTTGAAGTGACTAATCTTAACAAAGAAGATCTAATAAAAGGCAGGCAATCTAGTTGCGATCTACCTCTATCCTAACACATGCCTGTACAGTGCAACGTACGTCCACCTCATCTTCGGCCCCAATTTAGTTGGCGTAGTTGAGAAGGGCCTTGAAGACGCTGGCAACCCAGGTGAGCTGCTCCTCGGCGGTACCGTCGGTGGGCAGGGAGACGCTGGTGGCGGTGGAGCTGGAGACAGCAGCGGCAGTAGCAGTCTGCTTCACGCTGGTGGCCAGGGTGGTGGGGCCGGAGGAGGAAACGGGAGCAATGTTGTTGGCAGCCGCGGGGGAGGTGACGGCGGCGCTGGCAGCAGTGGTGGTCTCAGCAGCGCTGGAAGTAGAGCTGGAAGCAGCGCTGGTGGCGACAGCCGCAGCAGCGGAGGAAGAGGAAGAAGAAGAAGAAGAAGAGGAAGAAGAACCGCTCAGGGTGAAATCAACGCAGGACTCGTAGGTCTGGTCAATGGAGCGGGCATCCCACCACCACTGAAGAACACAAGCACCGGCCTCGTTACACTTGTCACCGAGGTCAGTGGGCATAGTGACGCTGAAGCTGGTCTCGTTGGCGGTCACACCGGTAGCGGTGGAGGCGTACACGCTCCAGTAGATCAGGGGCTGGCTGAGCATGGTGTTGGTGGCAGTGTCGACAACGGAGACGTTGGCAGTACCAGTGTGAGGAGCGCGGATGTCGACCTTGAAGTCGATGACCTCACCGGGCTTGTAGGACTGGACGTTGGCCGTGTTGTCGGCGTACTTGTAACCCTTGCAGAGCCAGATATCGCAAGCCTCGGCGTCGTAGTCGCTCTGGCCGTTGGTGATCTGCAATTCACCCTGGATGTTGCCGTAGTTGTCGGCCTCCTGGTTGTTGTACACCTGCTGACCGCAAGCCTTCTCCATGGCAGATCCGGGCATACGGGGCTGGGGGCTGGTCACGAAACCGTGGGCGTTGGCCATGGACACAAGTCCAGCGAGGGCGAGGATAGAGCCGGTTTGCTTCATTTTGATGGAAGTTGATTTGGTAGATAGAAAGAATGTAGTGAAGGATTCGGGTATACCAGTATACCTGTTGTTTCAAAGAGTGGAAGGTTTAAAGAATGAGATGGTCACAGACCGGAAGGAGAAAAAAGAATGTCGAAGAGAAGGACGAAATGAACAGACAAGCCTGCGTGTAGAGAGAAAGATGAAAAGCTCCCGAGCAGAAACAGCGAATTTCGCCATCCTATATACCAAGAAAACGGTGCCTGGACCAACTGGAGCAGCTTCATTCGGAGGTCGGCCGTGAAACGGTTCTTGCGTCTAGACAGAACCATCTAAACCCTTGAAGAAATAATGACAGGGTGCCTCTCCACCGGGACATGGCACGATAGATTGACAGGTCACTGATCGAGGCACATCAGTGGCCATAGAGACATAGAGCGAAGGGCCTGCAGCGGTCGCACGTACCAGATCGGTATGGTCCCAAGCGCCGAGTGGTTTCACGTAGATGGGCGTGAAACAGCGGTGGAGCTGCGTCTTATTAGCAGTGAACTCGGGATGCTTGGCACAGTTAGGGTTTCACCTACATTAATTCCGCGCCTTGCCCAGCCAGACATCGATTCTCATGCTACACGCTTTTCTCTCTAGCGGACACTCCTAAATCTCCTGGCCTTGCTTTGCCTCTGCCTTCCCCCTCCCCGTTATCTAGACAGGTATTGTTTTTCTTTCAGCCCGATGACGGCGGATGGCGCTTCCGGTTCGAGCTAAGACCGCCGTTAGCCAGGAAAAGTCCATCAAGCATTTCCACCCCTGCCCAGACCGAGGTTTGGGATGCAGCTGGTTCATCTATTCGGGACGAGCATTGCAATATCCGAGCCAGATTCCAATCCATGGCGGCTGCTCCAGTCAGGTTCAGGGCCAGCGTAATACGACCCACCACACACCAATAGTAGAATAATAGGAAAGACGATAAGAATAGTAGGCTCAATCTAACACTGTTCTGCAGAGAGGTATCATGTCGAGGTATCGCTACATCATAAAAAACATACAAGGAATGAAAGGAAAGGGGGGCGTTAAGAATGCTGGCCTGGCTGTTGTGCTTCCTTCCACCAGTCGCTGCTCGGCCCGTCCAACCTCGGCTCACCATACGTTGAAGGGCCGGCGGTGGTAGTGGTGTGGCGATCTGCGAACGGGTCTTGGTCCTCGCTACCTCCCGACCGTTGGTCGTTCCAACCGCCGTTGTTGCTAGACGACCCCGAAGGGCCCGGCATCACTGGTTCCGAGGCAGAAGATGGCAAGAAGGTACGTTGCGGCTCTCTGGGTGGCACTGGAGGTGCTGCGTGTGGTTGCACAGCACCAGACGCTGCAGTCTCGTTGTTGGATGATGTTGCCGGAGACTGACTACCGCTTGGGCCCTGCGATCTACGCGCCCGAAGCAGGGCATGCTGATGATTTGACAGAGCCACAGTGAGTTCGTCGTTGGTTTGAATCAGCGTCAACAACGTATCCTCATCGGGCGCTGGGTTCGTCGCATGGATATAGTTTTGAATCACGCGAGACGCCGTGCGACACCGGTCGGAGAATTCAGTGATGAGATCATTCTCGAGCAACTCTGTGAGAGGGGTGGATTGGACAAACTGCGTGAGCAATTTCGCCGAAGTCTTTGCTTCGGAAATGCGCTCAGCAAGCTCCTCAGGCTGTGGGAGCGTGTTCTGTTGTCTTGGAGGAGCAAAGTGATTCTGACTCAGTAGAGGCGCCCGCACTTGCGATGAACTCCGGCTAGCCTATCGCCGTTCCTTCCGTCAGCATTGCCAAAGCCACAAAACGCGATGGCACATATACTTACACGCAACCCGTTAGGCCGGCTGTTGCTTTTAGCCTTCTCGGCGCTCCACATCTGCAAAAGAAGCTTGAGATCATCATCCCACGATCGCTGCAACTCCAAAGCATCCAGGGTCTCTCTCAGAAAGCCGTGAACGCGGTGATCCCTGCCCTGTTTATAGAGGTCCTTGATCGTAGCAACGAACTTGGCGTCGATGTTGCGCGAGAATGTATGGCCCGGATTATCGGCGAGGATGCGAATCAGCATGATGGCATTGTACTGCACATGAGTGGGTTGCTTCGAAGGTTCCGACAGGATCTTGCGGATCAGCAATCCGGCTTCGCGAGCTGCGTTGGGGCTCGACTCGGCGTTTTCGACGATGCCCGGCAGATGGACGTACTCATTTCCCTGGACACACGGTATGAGTGCTTCAGTCGCAGGTGGGGAACGCGGGCTTTACGATGTCGCGATCGAGAGACGCAGGAAAAGAAAGACGTACAACACTGTTCGCACCTTCTTCGCAAAATGCGGTCTGAAAACCAAGCAAGACATTCTATTAGCTTACTGCGCTTTTGAAGGAGAGCCAAGGATTGAACCAACCACTTCTCGTAGAATGATCCCCTCAGGCGAGTCATCTGGATAAGCTGTAGTTGTTGCAAGACTGGGGCGCGTCGGACCTGTCAGACGGCATCGCATTAGTGACCGAGTTGGCATGGTCGCGCGCCTGGGGAACAAGTACTCACTAGTCCGCTTGCTGATAGAGTTAAAGATGCGCTTCATGATCACCGTACAAGCTCAAAGGAAGCGGATATGTATGGTCAAGATAAGAAGAAGAGGATAATGGGCAAGAACAATTAAAAGAAGCGAACAAAGAAAAAAAAGGGGGGGGGGGGGGGACAAAAAAATAGTCGACTTGTAGTTTAGGTAGTAGCTTCGTAGCTTAGTAGTTGACTAGTAAGCGCCGCAGTAACCGAGTTGGAAAAAGAAAGCAAAGCAAGCAAAGCAAGCAAATCAAGCGGACCGGAACGGCGGCGGGCGGCAGTTTGTATTACTTTGTCCTTTTCCACCAATTCTCCGCCAAAACCTTTCCCCGCTTGAGGAGGTGTGATGATGATCCGATCAAAACTGCCAAATCTGCTGCAATGTCAAGGACGCTTTGTCGGCGACACGCAAGCAGGGTCTTGCGCGGATTAACCAAGACCTGGGGACGCGATAGAACTATCCCTTTGGAAACCCATCAGCAAATAGTGGTGCCTGCTTGCAACCACAGACGGCATTGCGCATGTGCTTCACCGGCGCAACCAACCGGGCTCGACTACGTATGCAAGCCTAGGTATTGTTCTATTGCTCTGCTTCCTGTCGTCATGGGGTATGCGAGGTCCGGCTGTCGGGTGATCGCATTGGGCTGAGAAAGACGACAATCACTGGTCGGGAAGCACAGCCACTCTTGGCCTGTCAAGCAGGCATCAAAACGGTCTCCGGCTGTGCGCGAGGGCCTGGGGTTCAAGAATGATGGATCTAGGCATCGCCTGTAGATCAGAGGGTGCGGTGGCGCAGTTGGAGTCTTTTTCAACGTCTTTGGTCGATCTGAACATCGTGATAATAACAATCTACATTACAACTACATGAAAAAGTCAATCTAGGCACATCCGACTTTTACTTCATGAAACAATAAATTCCGTATCCCATTCATGAAAAGCAGCGCTCAAAGTGTTCTGAATTGTGAGAATGTCCGAACTAGCCGTGTCGACCCAGGCCACCCACCCAGGCCTGTGGTACCAGAGAATCTGCGACTTCTGTTTTACCTTTACCTGCCACGGAAAGGCTGTCGAAACAAAAATTCCTAGGGAAGGAACCGCTGGGGGGTAGGTAGAGATCAACTGTCTCAGATATGACACGGATAGATGGTCTCGCCCGTTGGTTTCGAATTTTTTCCATTTGTCAAAAAAAGTAATAATTTCTTTTGTATTCCTTCCGTGACCAGGTATAGGTTTCCGTACAACAGCGAAACTCCGGCATTCCCATTCAGATTCTGACCACTTCACTTCCCCCGACACCCATGAACCGCTTATGCCTCGATGAGAGCACGGCGGATCTGAGCGCCACGCTGGCGAGAGCTGAGGCGGACCTCACGCTCGGCAACGGGACCCTTCTGAACGACCTCCTCACCCTCAGTAAGGATAAGCTCGATGTGACAGGGGTTGGTCATGTAAGGGTTGATCTAATCGAGAAATAGTCAGTCGCGGGTGACTGTGGGAAGAGAGAACGAATCCGAGGGTTCAACATACACGACCGTGAGCACGGTAGGTGCGTCTGCGGCCCTTGGGAGCCTGGTTGACCTGGATGTGCTTGACAACGAGGTTGCCGGTGTCGAGACCCTTGGTATCGGCGTTGGCCTCAGCGTTCTTCAGGAGGTCGATGAGGAACTCGGCGGACTTGACGGGCCAGCGAGCCTTGCTGACACCCCACTGCTTGCCTGTGGAATGAAGCCGTTAGTTATCTCCATTTCCAATATCCTGGCGAACCCCAATATTCTCGATAGCCATCCACGGTGTACACAATTATCCTTCTCGTCCACGGCCTAGCCCTCGATTCGCCTTCCACCTCTTTCATTGTGTCCGCTTCCAGAATTCGTCGCATGTAGGAAAGATGAATTTGGCACTCACCCTGAGCGCAGCGGCCGGTGCTGCCAGCGTACCGGCGCATAGGGACGGCCTCAGCCTTCTCGGTAACGTTGGTGAGGAAGGTAAGGGCACGCTGCAGCTTCATGCCGTTGATGGCCTGAGCGGTCTCACGGGTGTTCTTGAAGCTGACACGGAGGTAAGAGCCGCGAGCGCGGGCGCTCTTAGCGGCCGGGATATCCTGAGCAGCGTAACGGACCTGATGGCGACGGAAAAAAAAACCCAACATCAGCATGAGCCCTCAACATATCAAAATCCTTCAATTCAACACGCCAATCATTTGCCTCCGGAGCAGGATTCGTAGCGAACGGTGTAGGTAGTTCCTTTGACGGGTGGTGATAGGAAGGGTCGTGAAAATTCGATATACGGTCGGCCTTCATTCGGGGGCCATAGGCACACAGGATCGAAGATTTCCGGTACAACGGGGGTTGAACATCATAGAGACCGTAATTCTCGAATTCGCGTGATAAAACCCTCTGCTCCGATTCCAACAACGACAATAAACTCGAATATAGCACTCACCATCTTGATGTGGTTGCCGAGCGGGTGGTCCTTCGATGTCGGGTGAGAAGTTTTGTCGCTTTTCTGTCGTCGGCCGCTCAAACTTGAGATCGCGAGGCTCGCTCGTTGTGGTGCGCTTTTTCGCGCTTGGCACCCGCCTAGGGTATGTTAGCCCTAGCACTAGTGTGGTTCTGGTAGGTCACCCGCTCACCGCCCGGCAGTAAGCCGCCGCCTTGGGTCGGATGTCTGGGTCGGGCCCGCGAGCGGACAACCATCAACTATCAAGTTACACATGTAGATCCAGAACGATGAAGACATTCTAACAAGCAATGTAGAGATCCTGGTCTCAACCTTGTTTATTCAGGTTGCTATCTATTTCAACTATTCTTGGTCCCCCTCCCATGTCCAAGTCTAAACGCTGGACCCACTAAGGCCTCAACAGCCTCTATTTCAAACCGCCTCCGATCAGCAAGCTTTGGCCCGTCATGTAACCTGTCGTCACAAGCATAGTCACCACATTCGCAACCTCCCCTGGAGTTCCAACCCGCCCGAGGGGAATACTTGCAGCGATCTCCGGAACCGAGTCAGCGTTAGGAATCATCCCCGTGTCGCCGATGATTGCAGGTGCGACGTCATTCACGCTAATATTGTACTCCGCCAGTCGAGTGGAGAGATTCTTCATCATACCGGTCATGCCAGCCTTCGAGGCGGCATAATCTGTAGAACAAGATCACAATTAGCAAGTGCGTGAGGCTTGTCGTACTCGGATAGCTAGTATAACATACGGCAACCATTGATACCTCCTCCGTAGCCAGCAATCGAGGACATGAACACGATTCGTCCCCATCGCTGATTCTTCATGTGCTCAACCACTCCCTTTGACAAGATGAATGAGGCCCGAAGGTTGACATTCAACGTATAGTCGAAGTCCTCGAGTGAAATATCCCAGATCTGGCGGATTCGCTTGCCGTGGCCGGCGTTGGAGACAAGGATGTCAGGTCGTTGTCCATGCTGCTCGTCAATCTCCACGAACATGGCCTCAATTTGTTCAGCAGATGCCACATCGACCTGGTGGATTGTAATACGGAGTGTGGGGTATTTTGATGACAGCTCATCCTTGAGAGATGTGATTGAAGCCGAGTTTGATGAGTACGTCAAAGCCAAATGGACCTCGCGCTCAGCCAGCTGTCGTGCGCAGGCTGCACCAATTCTGTATCACAATATCACGGTCAGCACGCAAGCTGGAACTTTTGGCTGACTCTGCAAAGCCTACCCTCCAGAGGCGCCGGTAATCAGTGCCAGTCGGCCGCGGATCTCGTTCAGCTGAGACATGGTTCTAGCAGATAGTAGTAGCCCGGGTCATTCGATGTTGATCGGAGCAATCGTGACCAAGATTGCAGAGTAAGGAGTCGGAACCACAAGGTGGGTAATTACGTGAAGGGAGGCAGACGAGTTATGGAGGAAACAACAGCACCGAGCGCAGTCTTCTGAATACGTAGTACGTAGCCATGTGCTCTTCAGGTCGGCGTGAATTCCGACTAAACACTTTCCCCTCCCCTCCCCCACGACCCCGCACTAAACAGTGGGGGTGAAGGAAACGGACGGGCGCGCGGCGGCGGCGGTGGTTACGCCTGCCCCTGTAAGTCGTAAGGCATCGCTTTGATCGGGTACGGCCCGTACAAGCCCAATACGGAAATATACCCCGTTTCACGGTCTCCAGCCATGGATTATGATTGTCCCAATAATACCCAATTCGAGTCGCATCCTTGTTGCCTGGTTATTACACTGTCACCCAGCTATCCTCAACTCTTTTAAAAGAGAAGGTTGCTGCTCATGTCTCCCGACCATGTTGGTACCTGCCAGGTCTGAGATCGATCCTGTCCAGGAATAAATAGATCTGGATTCTGGAATGTGTCCAGTGCGAGCGTGTTCGTTCCTGACATCTGATCGCCAGAGACGTAATCACCAACGGCTTCGAGATCCAGCCACGAGAAGTCGTTTGCGGGGCTAAAGTGCACATGGGGATCGGATGTATGGTGTGAGAGTGCGCTGCTATCGTTTGGCATAAGAAGCTCGCTTCCTTGGTGTGTCCCTGCTGGCGAAGTGGCTGGCATCGATTTTTGTTGCCACAAGAGCTCTAGAAGCCGCGAATACCGTGACCCGATATCATCAGGGCCGGCGCTGGCTCGCCTCAACACTTGTGTAGTCCGAGTGACAAGATCTCGCACCTTCATCTCCTCGGAGAACATCATAACACCGAAGGAGCGGGCCTAGCCGCATGCAGTCAGTCTCAAGAAGAGGCAGTAGAGGGAGACTTGAGTGCTTTTACCTTGTACAAAAATACTGCAGAATAAATCCCATATAGATAGAATCGGAGCGGCATGAAATGGAGATGTTTCTCTGGGTCAACCACATCGACAAGTATGGTCAGGTAAGCTTTGGCAGCATCGATCGATTCGTAGATAAATCGAGCATCCTGCATTGAAGCCACATTGTTGAAAGTTGTCCGCAAGTACTCTCTTTGAGACTGATCGTCGTTCTTCATTTTGGAGACCAAGGACTGGGAAATAGCTGCTTGGAAGGCAAAAGCGTTGGTGTACAGTCTTAGATATTCGTAAGACAGCTGTAGGGTAACCTTCATTGGCGTAGAGCCTGCTGGTAATTAGTGGGAAGGCATGACTGCGGAGAGTTTGACTCACATGGTAAGGAGCCCCATAGAGATTTCCAGCGCAGGATTGCCAGTCGGAAGTCGTCAACGTACTTCACGTAGTCACCCATAAGCATCATTTGGTTGCTCGTTCGCATCCCAGAATATAGCACATCGTGTACATTGTTATACAATTGAGTGAGATCTAGCGTGGCCTGGAAGACCCTCGCATAGTCCTCGTCGCCATCATTCACTGGTTGAAGCGATGGGAAGTCCTGGCTAACGAGACCAGTCATTGGTCCCGGGCCTCGGGACCAGAACGCTCGCCCGATGCGCACGGATATTAATCGATCGGACACATAGCAACTGGTCCATGCTAGTCGTCTCCGAGCCTCTGTCTCTGTGTCTCCGGACGAATCGCCTCGAAATGACGATCTGTCCAATCCAAGAAAATATCCAGAGCGCAAAGCGAGCCCAACATGCATCCAGGCAGCGCGATCCTCCTCGCCACGACCAACTTTCTCTATCCGAGGTCGAAGACCTTGGGGCTCCCATTCCGCTAGGAGAAGTAGGGCTTCTACAGCCTCCACGTCGCAGTCGGCGCCGGCGGCGATTCCGGATATCAATTCGTGCATGTATTTGGAACAGTATTCGTGGATCTCTGGTCGTTCCACAAGGTCTTTAGAGGCAATGGTTAAAACGGCAGTGAGAAGATGCTTCTCATTGTTGGCGAACGTATCGAGTGCGCTACGCTCAAAGTACTTCCGTGGTACCAAGGGGAGGTACGGGTGGAAGTGCTCGGCATACCGAACCACTAGTTGCCAAACGGTACCCGTGTCCAGAGACCGGGATTGTACTAGGCGATATGCTTTGATGCCACTGTTGGACGGAAAGTCACCCATGGAGCCATTTCGAAGCGCACTGAGTCCCGTGAAGCCATTCGAGCTTACACGAAGAGATTCGGGTCCAAAGTCCGGGCTGGGACCATCCGTGCCTCTTTTCGCTATACCAGTAAGACACTGCCATGCGTCAGAGGGGTTCCGGGGTACGGAGCCTATAGAAGCCGTGTCTTCATCATCCACGGACAATGAAGGTGCGGTGGGGGGATCTGGGGGGACAAATTGAACCGGGCCGGGGTACGGGCCCGAAGCCGTAGTCTGACGGTTGTCCGAGTTTGAGGGGCTTGCCGGTTCTATTATGGAGTCTCTTCGGCCCGATGTTATGCTGTCTGGGGTGAAATTCTGCATTTTGTTTTTGCGAATGCGCCGTCCTCCTCGATTAGAGCTACCTAGGACACATTCACGATTATCTCGGATGCAGCGCTGGCATGGTGGCACTCCAGGACTACCACTGCTGTCTCTGTATGCGCAGTTTGGTTAGTTATCCATGTATGAGAGAGCCAGCATATGTGAAGACCATGAATTGAGAAGAAGTGAATGTAGGCAAAAGAATCCACGATAGCTGGCAGCAGCCTAGGGGCATCATGTTCGTCAGAAAAGTGACTTACAGATCACACTTCGATTTACGCTGTCTGCAATGCAAGCAAGCTCTTGAGACGCGTTTCATGAGATGGTCTGAACGAGCCTTGGCTCTCGAGCCTGGAGTACCCGCGACCGGGGAAGATCGTTCGTCTTGCTCCATGGCGACTATTCTCTAGAGTGCGAAGGTCGCTCCGTATGTTCACTTCTCCCGAATGAGATTCTAAAGCTGCATCTTCATCCTAGCAGGGTCTCGCAAACTTGCTTTTAAGCCACGCTCACACTTTGACTCCGAGATACCACGCACGTACGGTGTCGATACCATGCATGTAATGTGTCAAGGTCTGAGAGATAACCGGCCGATGAAAGGCGGAAGAGGTGATCACGCTTGCTGACTGTAGAAAGAGAGAAAGAGAAGAAAGTGTTGGTGTCAGACACTGGGCGATGAAGGTTTGGTGGACATTCAGCGGCTTCGGCGTGCTGCCAGCATATTATCTGTCGTTCGTTTGGGATCGGATTCGAGCTTCATCCAGGCGCTCGTGCTTTCCCCACACTAGAGGTGAATATAAGTTCAGTCTCACCACTAGCTGAGCCAAGTCGCATGCACCTAACTCAAAATGTAGTCATCAACTTATACTCGGCATGAAGTTGCTGGGCTAATCACATATGCTGGATTTCAACCAACTCGTGTATGAATTCAGAGGTAAACAGGAGGCGGCAGAGAAAAAGAACTTGGGAAGAGAAGACGGCAACAGCGGTATTACCCGATCCGTACACAGCACGGTATTCTATCCGGACAGTGACTTGAACAGCAACAAAACTCAAAATGTTCAGATGTTGTTCAATATAATGAATTATCGCAACTAATTAGAACCTATGTAACCTTGACAGTCCCTTGTATTCCTAGGAGCCAACATTGACCGGCTGGCATTTCGCGCAGCAAGTACCAAGGGGCCGTCTCCGGCGAATATATAGTTGCTACGACGGGTGACCTTTGAGTGTACAGCAAGAGTCTGATCTCATAGTAAAACTCAGGCATACACTCACAGTGCACCGCGGACCGAGACCACACAGAACAGCAATAATTAGCTTCGAGGTCAGCACCAATTATGGATAATTGCCCCGGTTCAGGCCGGGGATAGATGCCCTTGTTGATGATGATTGCATGTACCCAGCATGTATTGACATCAATACACGAAACGATCGGGCAACCCCCAAAGGAAGGTTCAATAGCCGTGTGCGGGGGAACCGGGCTTTGAATCTACCTAATCGGATGCTGCCCCCGCATTGGAAGACATACAAGAATGATGATGGGGTTTCTTAATGGTTAGAGAGAAACAAACATTATTGTTGCACATATCGGCTGTCTTTTGGGAGTGTTGATAGCAGGGCAGGCTTCCGATAATGGACTACTCTATCGTTACTGTGCTGCACTGTCTTCATGCCATCGTTAAAGGACCGCAAGCTGTTGAAGGCAACCTGCAAAGACCTCACTGCAGGGGCGACTGCTCCTTTGCACAGCACCTCACCAAACAACCAAGTAAGCATTAATCAGTAGGCCAGTCAGTCAATTGAGCTGCAAAAAATTACCGTATGCAACTCAGAGCTGCGAGACATTTTTTCAAGCAAGAGAAGCGCGATATTAGCAAATCATGCAGATTCCCTGTCAGATGCAACAGGTCACATCCATCGATATATCTGACTTTCGAATCCAAGCTGGCCAACAATGAGCTCAACAAAGATAATCTACATGCATCTGCCTGTCGTCCTAGGGCTTTTGAGGCAGAGCTAGGACGTGACGTTTCAGATAAAGTCTGGCAGTGGGCAGATATGCCGAGTTGAGAAGACTCTGGTGAGAGCCTACCGGTACGTGGTAGTTCACATGTGCAGGCATCTTTCAGTCAAGCTCCTTATCTCATGCAATCCGATGAAAGGAAGTCCATCGTGCCTTGACAGCAATAATCCCGGGATGCTAACATGTCAGGTCATATCTACCTGAGCTCATCAGACCACACTTGACAGCCGCGCAGGATTACCAAGTGCGTCTCAGATCCGTGCGTTAGTTTCTCGTTAGTCTTCCAATTCAAGCGCTGGAAGCATGGCATAAAAGCTAATGAGCTACTGCCTGTCATTGAGGTGTCGAACTCCCATGTGGCTTCAGGCTTGAGCCGAGAGGACTGGTGAATTCGGTGGGCACTTCCAGTGGGACACGAGCCTCAGAACCTGAGCCAAGGGTAAACGCATATCCACTTTTTTTTTTTTGTTCCGATGGAGGGGGTTTTTTTTAGCAGGGTTCCAAGAAATATCTACGAGTAGTCAAGGAAGAAGAACCGAATGAAGGAAGAGTATTCCGAGATAGCCAGGAAACCGAAGTCTCCGAGCAAATGATAGAATCGGATTAGAAT